GAATCTTCTTCGCTGTAAACGTTTCAATCACAAAGGTGATCTTATTTAGTACAATGACAATACATCTTATTTATCTGAATTTTAGTTGACAGTTCGTTTGTTTTTTCTTGGAATAATTTGACTTACTTGTCAGTAAGAAATGCCTCTATCCAATCTTAAAGCTTACCTCGTGCATCAAAATGCTCAATTTTTGTACATCAAATGTTTATGCGGAACTTTTCAAAAGCTCTTTCGTAAACAAGATATATTATATCTATGGGATTTCCTTGATCATACACAGCTGTACATGTCATATAACATCCATAGAAACAACTTGTTTTCGAAATTTATAGTTTTTTTGGAGATCGTTGGAGAACCCTGTATACTATCGAAATAATTCAGCGCAGAGCGCCATCTGTTACCAGAATCGACCACTGCGAGAGTATATATATATATATATTGTTTGATGGCACAGTCACCATTATAACCGCTAGAGGCTGACGATTCTGGCGGCATAATACATGTAATCTAATAACTATTGAATAATATTAAGCATCATGCTACCGACCAAAGATACTGTCTTCGATAGAGAATAGTGGCTATCATTTTTCTCGCTGTCGCAGAGACAAAGCCTATACCATGCTGATGAGTTGCCAAACAGCACGAAACAACTATCAATGGTTGGATCTCTTGGGTCGGTGGGACAAAGTAGCTTGTTTGGTTTCCTGTATACTACCTGACTTACCTTCCATGAGGAAATAGTCTTCCTCGCTAGTAGCACCGAGTGATACTGGTACTTTATTGAAATCTCCCTCTTCCATAGCTTCGTATGCCTGTTTGGTCAAAAAAGCACCATCGTGCTCGTGCTCGTATACCGGCGCAAAGAAAAATCCTTGGTACAACTGTAGATAGCTTTTAGGATTCTGGAAGATAATAAGCATATGCGTATGGTGACTAAGTTGTACTTTATACACCTGAACCGGGTCAGGTCATGTTGCAATTCTTGCAGTTATTCTAAGACGATATTATCTGGCGCTTCGTTTCACACCACCCCCAAATTTTAAACCACATCGTATACTCTACTAACAAAATTTTTACATCATAGTAGGCGGATAACGTACCATATGACAAATAAAAAATATAAAGCAATTATCACATTCAGTTCGACAGGGACGTCCTAGCTACAGCGCAATATTGCTAATTTATAATAACGGCTGAAAGATAATATATCCATTCTGAATAAATTATCCTTGCTTGATTTCGATAAAATGAGCGTTGTTTCAATGACAAAAAAGTAAAACTCAATGAAGTGATCTAAAAATCGCCTGATATTTACCAAGAAGCCCCTCATTTCTCCTAAGAAGATTGAGTGAGATTGGACTGAACCCTCCACCTGAACAGTTCCAAGAAACATTATCTCTACCTTTTCATTACAGTGGACCCCCCGATAATCCGGCCCCTGTCTAATCCGACATGTCTTTGAATGTTACATACATACATATTTGACAATCTTCGCTAATGAGGATCGCGCAGGTTTGAACAGGTTACAACTTGTACGCGCCACCGCTATCGTGCTCGACGCGTAAGCATTGTTTTACTTAGTTTGAATTTGACTACATGTGATAGCGGTACGGCCTAGCGTGCGTTCATTGTTTACTATTTATTCATTGTGTATTAAGTATAGTGTACCTAGTAATGTCATCACAAACTCAGAAGCGAAAGTACAAAACATTGACAATTAAAGAAAGATGTGATATTTTAGACCGCTTAAATCGCAATGAAACTTTCAGTAGTTTAGCAAGTGAATACGGAGTAGGCCGATCTACAATTTATGACATTAAAAGTAACCACGGGAAGATCAAGAAATTCGTGTCAACTACTGACTGTGGGCCAGGCAAGAGACAGCTGAACATCCAGAAGTGGAAGAAGTTTTGTACATGTGGTTTCTCCAGGAAAGAAATAGGCATGCACCAATTTCAGGACCCATGTTGGCCATGAAAGCTAAGTTTTTTTATAAGAAAATAACAAAAAAAGATGATTTTGTGGCCAGCAAATGATGGCTAGAACGTTTTAAAAGTCGTCATGGCATACGTTTAATGACTATTACAGAAGAGAAACTTTCAAACGATGCCACCTGCATAGAGCCCTTTAAATTAAGATTTTTGCAAAAGATGAACGATTTAAGTCTTGACCCGTCACAGGTGTACAATGCAGACGAATCAGAGCTTTTTTGGCGTGTGATGCATAACAAAACTTTCGTTTTTTGTAACGAAAAATCCGTACCTGGACGAAAAGTACGTAAAGAGCGTGTAACCATACTACCATGTGCTAAAGCTGCGGGCACACACGCGCTTAAGATGATGGTCATTGGGAAATCTAATAAACCACGGGCATTCAAAAACATTGATTTACCTGTACACTATTACGGACAAAAAAGTGCATGGACGACAAAAGACCTTTCCAAAAAGTGGTTTGATGAATGCTTCGTACCTGAAGTTAGAAAATGGTTAAAATATCATAATTTTCCTCAAAAAGCGTTGTTGCTTCTTAATAACGCTCCCGGTCATCCGTCTGAAGAAGAACTAACATCTGAGGATAAATGCATCACTGCGATGTTTCTTCCGCCAAATTGCACTGCACTGATTCAACCAATGGACCAGAATATCACTCAGTTTGTCAAGCAAGACTATAAGAAAAACCTACTTCTGAGAGCCGTATCAAAAGACCAACCAATAGAAAAAACATTAAAAGAATCTAATATTAAGACTTGGTTTTTGCTCTTTGTCAGTCGTGGAATGCGTTACCGTCATCAACTATTAAATCGTCTTGGAAAAAGTTTTGGCCAGATATAGTCACCACTCCTAGCAACGTTCCACAAATCAGTGTAACTTCGGAAGTTATAGAACAAGTCGCTACTGAAACACAGATAAGTCCGGAAGATTTGGAAATCTGGTGCCGTGGAATGGATAAAGAGGAAAATGTTTTTCATGAAATGTCTGACGAAGAAATTATAAAAGAGGTTTCTAATTATACAACAAACAATCAGGAAAGTAACGACGACGTGATTGCAACTGCTCCACAAGTCACAGCACAAGACGCAATTAACGCTTTTGAGCTAGGTTTACAATGGGCTGAAGAGAATGGTACATCCTACAACAAACTTTTACTTTTGAGAAGACTGAGGGACAAAGCTCTGATCTCGCGTTATAACAACCTTAAACAAAACAAAAATTGATGAATATTTCCAAGCTTTATAATTTGATAAATTCAATAATGATTACATAAATGCGTAAATTGCTATCTATGGGCTCTACCGTGTGAGGCCTCAATTAGTTATTATGATGTTAAAATTTCGTTGGATTATACTATCTTTTTCTAATCTTATTTGTAAGTCTCTTTAGCCTACCGTTGTTACTATCGCCAAGCAAGCATCATTAATTATCTCTGTTGGTATGTTTTTGAGAAACTCGTAAATAGTTTGAGAAGTATTATATTTATGGTAGTTTGCAGGATCTATATTTCTGATCAATTCCCTCGAATATAACTGGTAGTTCCTTTGGTACGCCCATGGACTTAGCGATGTCCCACTGAGCAAGATTGCGCTTCTGAACAAACCTAAAATGTTAATAAAAAAGCGATAATAGAGGAATGTTTCAGCAATCAGGGTGGTCCCAGAAGTATCCGTCTCAACGAAGAAAACACAAAATTTTTATAAAAAAATGTATTTATTTTTCAACATAATCTCCTTTGAGCTCTATACACTTTTCCCAGCGATGTTCAATAAGTTCGATACCCTTTTTATAATAAGATATCAGGCTCCTCAAAATAGCCATTAACTGCCGACATCACTTCTTCATCGTCAGAAAATCTTTGACCACTGAGCCATTTTTTCAAGTTTGGAAACAGAAAATAATCCGAGGGGGCTAAATCTGGTGAATAGGGTGCATGAGGTAGCAATTCAAACTTTAATTCGTTAATATTTTGGCCATTGCAATAACGGATTTGTGAGCTGGTGCATTGTCTTGATTAAACAACACTTTCTTCTTAACCACATGCGGCCGTTTTTGCTTGATTTTATCGCTCAAACGTTGTAATAAGTTAATAATAGTCAATGAAAATTATCCCACGCGCATCCCAAAAAACCGACGCCATAACCTTGCCTGCAGATGAAACGGTCTTCGCCTTCTTTGGAGCCGGTTGTCCCTTTTGAGTCCATTGTTTTGATTGTTCTTTTGTCTCGGGTGTGAAGTGATGGACCCATGTTTCATCCATGGTTATGAAACGACGCAAAAATTCTTCTTTGTTGCTGTGAAACTTCGCTAAACACTCAATTGACACATCTTCACGGATTGTGAGCAATCGCGGCACCCATCTTGCACACAGCTTTCTCATGTCCAAATTTTCAGATAATATGCGATGAACCTCACTTTTTGAATTGCCTACTATGTCTGCTAGCTCGCGCACTTTCAGTCGACGATCATCCAGTACCGCTTTGTGAATTTTCTTCACCATTTCTGGAGTCGTCACCTCATTTGGTGGACCCACTGCGATGCTCGTCTTGGCAGCTCATACGGCCTCGTTTGAACTCTGCTACCCAATATTTTACTGTTGTAAACGAAGGAGCAGACTCGCCCAGAGTAAAGTCCAGTTCAGCTTTTATATTGGTTGGGCTGAGGCCTTTGAAATAAAAGTATTGTACCACATAACGATTACCAATTTTCTCCATTTTTACAAATTCACTGAAAACGTTCAGTATTAATGGCTGCCAAATAAATACTAAACAACGTGGCGTCTTCAAACTTGACACATATGCTTTATAGGTTGCATACTTTCTAATACAATGATATTTTTCAAACAACTATCGCCATCTCTAGGTCAGGCCGGGTACTTCTGGGACCACCCTCGTATGTTATGAGACAACAAATAACAGAAATTTCAAGAATATTGTTTTTTCTTCTTTATGTCAGTACTATCTATGTAGAATGGTCGGTTTCACAAACCGGTCGTTTTCTCAATATGCCCTATAACTTCACTGGTACAAAACTTAACTTATCCCATATCGTTGTACCTTTAGATAACGGACTCATAATCTGATAAGCACAAGAAGCAGAGCCAGCACTCTGACCAAAAATTGTAATTTTGGTTGGATCACCACCAAAATGATGGATGTACTGATTGGCCCACTTTAAGGCCAAATTCTGATCTTTCAATCCAGCGTTTCCAGGTACCAAATCATCTCCAGTCGAAAGGAAACCTGAAAGTTATTTTTGTTGTTAAATGTCTGAGTTTAAGTAATGACCAATAAAAAATAACCACAAACCACATGTTCTTACAGATATCAGAGGTATACCGGCTTTTTTCAACAGCTCAGCTGGCATTTCGTCAGCTCCAGTCAACTATCCATCTTTAAGCTCCTGATTGATAAATTTTACTTTTACATTCCGAAGAATATCGCTGATTCGAAAAAAATTTACGTCACAGAATAAGCAAAATTGAACCTAATCTGCCTCATCGTATTATGCAAAAAAAAACATGACTATCTGGGGGAGCTTCTGCCAGACGTAATATTAGAAAAAAGTCTGCACATCTGGTGCTTAATTAAAATAATAAAAACATTTATTTTTAGTCCAGGGAAAGGTCTGCAGGACCGGAACACGGATTTTATCTAGAAAAGTCTTGTGTATAGGTAATAACCTCTCAATTGATGCATCAACAGTATTTCGTCCGATGAGCTTTAGTTTTTCAGATGTCGGAGAATGAAGAACGTCATTGTGATTTAATTACCCTCAAAATACTGTTTTTGAAGTCATGGTGTTGCGTATCTGGTTTATTTTAATGAGTTCTAGGGCAACCCTACATCTCATTTTTCATATAACCTTTTTCACGTTTTAGAATATAACTGACCTGACTAAGTAATACTAAAAAACGCCCGTTAGAGAAGAGTCATTGATCAGCCCTCCTCTCAACAACATCGAACATAGATAATGTAGTCGGGACTGCACTACCCCAAAGATGTGAGCAATACTCGAGGCTATTATGTATGCGTCGAAGGAAGAGACCAAACCAAAACAGTGATCATCGCGTGATTATTGCGTGATCAGTACACTGATATATTTCAAGAGAGATAACTGTTATTGGGCAGAATAGCTCGACCCCTTACACAGAACCAATGGCTAAACCGGAGAATGGAGTGGGAAACCGTGCATGCAGTCTGGCCCCAGTTGCCGGCTGTAAATGCTATAGTATATATATATATATATATGTGAAAAGTCGAAATTTGGGGAGATATGTAAGTTCTCCAATTCCCATTAATTAAAATATAGTTTATTCAACTGCCTCTGGTCGGTTTAACAATTTCTTACATAACATTCTGAAAATCACATCATCTGAAGTGATTTGGCAACGGTTGGCACACGCCCACAATGCGTTCCATCTTTCAACACAGACATTGACAACCTTCGGCCTTCTGTCAAAGGTTCATCTCACTCATTATTCCATGACCACCATTTTGTGCAATCATCAAGTGGCTTCACGACGTAATGCTCTAATGTTTTTTAAATAATTTTTAATCTGTTTTTAACTTGTCTTGTCATATTTTATAAAATTTTTGACCATTGTACCATGTATCCAGCTCTCACCATGTTACTGGACGTTTCCCTCATCCTATACGTAAACAACAATTAGCAACATCGTCACATACTACTGTAAGTTAAGTCAATTTAAATTCATTTTACACTTTTGTTGCTACTGTTATCATTGTAATTGCAGCTCCTGATGATGATGGCAAAGTCCATTGAAAGCTAGAGAGAATTAAAAAAAGTATAAAGAGTCCTCTTTGCTTAAATTTTGTCGAAGTACCCAACAAAAGGCGAAAGCTTTAATTTTTCACCTAACTGGTCTAGACGACAATGACCACGTCTTAAGTTATATATATATAGCTTTAATTTTTCACCTATATATATACAGTACAGAGTTGGCATCAGATTTATACTGGTATTACAGTGTGCTTATTAGATTTGTCAGTTTATATTTGTAGAACTCAAAATGTCGCATACGGATACAGCTGATGAAGTTGTTGATATTAACTGCACACTACCTAAAAATAGAGCTAAAAGGCTTCATTTTCGCGTTAGCGTATCGTATATATTATTATGTATTCAAATCATTTTTCTTTCAACTCCACCTAGCTATTCATTTTTTAGTCTAATATTAAAATTAACTGTTTGCACACTGACGTCAATGTTCAAGCGGTGATTAGGTATTCTTGTATCCATATGCAATTATCGTTTTAATGTGTCAAGACATTTTTTAAAAACCTGCTTTATAAATGCGTCTTACGACACATTTCGAAAATAATTTCTTGATGAAACACTTCTACTAAAAGCAACAATAGACAAGTGTTTTCTTTATGGTCATGACAGTTAAATTAAAAAAATACATTAATCCCAACCTTATGTTTGGACCCTATACATGCCTGCAATAACTTTTTATTCTCAGTTCGGCCCTATAACGTGCTCGGCGTTCTGGAGCGTGATCACGTGGAGTATACGTGAATATGTTTTGGTTTGGTGTCTTTCTTCGATGGTTACATAATAGGTCTTATCCAGGCTTTGTCCAGGGTTATAAGGTACTGCTAATGGGTTCCAAAAGTCCGCCGTTATTTTTACGTCAAAATTATCACTCTAATGTTGAGTTTGCTACCATGATCCATCGAGGGACTTTTTGAAAGTTCCTGTATAAAAAACTCAAAACAGGAATGATTAAAAATATATGAAAAACAATATGTAACATCAATTAGGCATGTAACTTAAAATAAAGCATATAATCCACGCCATGAGTGGATAAAACCAGTATTTTGCAGCGTTATTAAATTGGTCAGTTTCTCTCGAACTGAAGTGCTTTGGACGAAATGCTAATAAGTGATGTGGGAGCTCAAGACTAGGGATGCACAGAGTATTCGGTTTGTACCCGGTAGCCTATTTTCTAGAGTTTCGCCGAGTATTGAGTTACTCTGCCGAGTAATCACTTGGTCTGAACGCAAGACACACAAGTTGTGTGAATCTAAGAATTGCAGCTATGATGTCCAAACTCTGAGCTGATATGTCTTTTTCTAATCTTACATAAAAAACAGCTAAGGTTGCAACATATTTTTGCTAAAATCATTTTACTGTTATTCTAGCAAATGCCGACTGTCTTCTCTAGTAAGCTAGCTAGTGTATTTACGGCATTTGCGTAGCAAATTTTTTATACTCAAGGTGTAGATACTCAATACTTTTTAATACAAAATATGGTAATCTAAATAACGAGTATCCCGCATTTCTACAAAGAAAATCTCATATAAGGATCTTAGGCTTAGTACCTCTGAATTGGTTCCGCCACATCACGCAGTTTTAATTTGTCGTTTTTTATAACTTCTTCCTTAAGGCAGTTTAGAAACCTATAAAAATAAGTGTTAGTGTTCGTGATGGCCGAGATATGGCAGCGATTCGATAACCTAAATTTTTCGAAAATTGAGTACCTTGAGGCCTCGTATTGTCTATTTTACAAATGTGCTTCTTTCCTACCAGGAGGAATTGAAAAGCTTATCAAAAATAAATATTCCAAAAATGTGATGCCAAAATATTCAATTTCAACTCAATCTCTGCTGAATTCTACAGTGAAAAACATACCGGGTGATTCACCAGTCGTGACCAAAAATAAAACATCATACACAACCCCGCATTGTAGTATGTGGATTTACCTAAGTATTGTCGACATTCAAAAGTGTTTACTTAAAATTAATGTGCACCAGTGGCGGAGATACAGGGGATTAGTGGCATTATTTTTACAAATAAAAATAGTACATCACTGTTGTACTAAAGTGCAAGCTGGAATGACTGTTTGCACCATAAAAACGTTGGTTGACAGTGAAGTTACAGTTAACTTGCGATTGAAAATCCAGGCTTAACAGTAGTTGAAATATCGCAGAGCAGAGTACCCGGTACTCGGTGCTTTGGAAAAAATCACTAATCGGTGCCTCCCTAGTCAAGACCTACACCAAGGATTTTTTGGGCGAAAACCGCGTCCGGAAATCCCTTCTTTGGAGTCATTGTCCTTACCATAAGGTCCTACTCTGTAGTTGATTGTAACCAGAACAACGTCCTGCTCCATTAAGAAATCAGGACCATAGGAGTTAGAGGCACCTGCGACGAATCCCCCTCCATATATAAAAAACATCACTGGCAAATTGTCAGTAATCTGTAGATATTAAATCGACATCAGTAATCTTTTACCGCGTAATAAGCAGTATAATATTGTGAAAAGAAAAAAATGTTAGTCTGCTCATAGTAATGATTTTCCGCCATTTTAATGACTGCTACTCACATTGGGTGTATAGACATTCACAAATAAGCAATCTTCACTTTGATTGGGAGGCGTATAACTCATCTGATTGCATATTTTGCCGAATTTCGTCGCATCCCAGATTCCTTCCCATTTCTTCTTTGGGACTGGTGCCTAAAAACCAGATGTGCATAAAGGCGAATCAAAAAAGCTCCACGTAGCAACGTCACTCATTTTTGAGCTTTCTTACAGTGCTTTTCAAAAAGGAAACCCTCTAATTAAGGAGTTAAGTGGCAGAGTAGCATTATGCTAAACTTCACCCCCTAAATACAGACGATTTTTTATTATTATTATTTATCTCTTGAACGGACCAAATTAGAAGGATGGATAGATTAATGTATGGATATTATATTTTAGCATGAAAGTAATAAAAGTCAATCCTTGAATATAAAACCACCATCCCCAAAAATAGCGAATCGGCATGATGTCAAAACGAGCGTAGTTTTTTATATCAATCTCTTCTTCTCTTGGAGGCGTCTACTGAAATATGTAATAAAATATGAAACATTCTATTAAAAAAGTGTAAAATCGGCCATTTGTATTAATCAGAATATTTTATTGCTCATTTAGAGAGACCCTTACAAAAGAAAATTATTGATATAACATACTATGAAGTTTTGACGATTATTTGTTGAGCTATAAGCGATTCAATGTATACTAAGTGACATATAAATCCGAACACCCAGTTTAAATGGTTTTATTTTAATAAAATTTTGTATAAGTACTTAATGAAGCATAATAAGTAAATGATAAAAATTTCAAAATGATTGCACTGCTTTAAAGCCCTTTGACCTTTAATAATGTGTGGACGCACCCTGATGTGCTACGCATTCTCCAACGCACCTAGGCATGCTTCTGATCAGGTGGTCAATGTCCTCCTGTGGTATCTCATTCCAGGCAACCACTAACTCCTCTCGAAGTGCTTCTAGAGTCTGAGGAGGACGTTGCAAATTGAGCAATCTACTACCCATCATATCCCACACGTGCTCAATTGGGGATAAGTCGGGAGATCTTGGTGGCGATGGTAACAATGTGACATCATTATGTTGAAATAAGTCTATTGTGACTCTTGCAACATGTGGTCGGGCATTATCTTGTTGGAAAGTTGGATCTGCCAGGGTGTCAAGATAAGGTAAAAGATGGGGTTCTAGAACTTCGTGGATATAACGCTGCGCATTCATGTTACCTCTGATGAAGATTAAAGGTGACCTGGAACCATAAGCTATAGCACCCCAAACCATAACTGCAACAGTGTGATGAACATCTCTTTCAACAAAAAACTGTGGATTCCTCCTTTCACCACGTCGCCTTCTAACCCTAGCACGACCATCGTGCATGCCTAAACAAAATCGAGACTCGTCACTAAAGACAATACTGTTCCATTCCTGATCCCAGAGTGACCGTTGTCAGCACCACTCAAGGCGATTACGTCGGTGTTCTCGAGTTAAAGGGAGGACCCAGTGTGGCCGGTATGAAAACAAACCAAAACTTCTCATTCGTCGATAAACACTTCGCATGCCAATAGGTCTTCCGTGTTCTGCAAACCATTCATTTGCAATGGACCTGGTAGTGGAGAAACGGACCCTCAAGGCCAATAATCTTAGGCGGCGATCTTCACGGTCTGTTGTTCTACGGCGGCGTCCAGTGCCCCTTGCTCTTTGCGTACGGCCTTCTCGAAGCCATGCCCGACAACACCTAACCACAGTGTCTACACGTCTTTGCACTGTAACTGCAATTGCCCGAAAAGATAGTCCAGCTTCCCGAACTATACGGCCCCTATCAAACTCACTAAGTTGACGAAATCGTACAGGTCTCCGCACTATAGGCATCGTAACCGATCGTAAAGGATGTCAAGAACCAAAATCCGCCAACGTTGATTCTTTACTGCTGCTGAAATATTCATTTTTAGAGCGTTAGTGAATTAAAAAAAAGCAGTATAAAAACCGGAATGTCCAACTGATAAGGCTGAAAATTTTTTCACTTTTTATTTACAGTAAGATAAATACATTCAACACTTTTTATAAAATTAAATTAAAATAAAACCATTTAAACTCTTAGTATATAAAAACGCTCAACTTTGAAAAGCGCCAAATTTGGAAGATAGTGTTTTTATATTCTGGAACTTCCACTTTGACGCTAAAACATAGTATTCATGCTTGAATTTCATCGACCGCAATTTCAGCTTTCTAGCTTGATTTGTTCTAAAAAGAAGTGGGGGACATTTTTGAAATGCACTGTAGGATTATGCTGTTCTTGAGTGTGTGAAAAATTGCTGAGCAACGCAACAAAAACGACAAGCTTTGGCAGCAAGCCAGTCCGCCATTTTAAAAGATAGTTATTTTATATCCTAGGTCTACAAATTACTTATAAGGAGCTTTAAAGTTAGGCACAACACGACCTCTCATTCCACTTAGAGAAAATGTTCTGTAATGGCGCACTCAGTCATTTTAGAACATTTATGCTAAAATATAATATAACCCTGCATTTCAGCTCGCTGACCTGGCCCGTCCAAAAATAATTCGGAAGTGGTGACCTTTTTGAACAGCGCTGTATAAGATTGACCGATCGAAAATAAAGACGGTTCATACTGAGCTTACCTGGAATCTCAAATCGCCGACTGGTTTCTCAGCATACGGTATTCCTTGGAAAGAGTAGAATATTACCCCTTTAGCGGTAGACTTTACTAATCCCTTTACCGTACCAACTGGCAGTTGCACTGTTACATCTTCTGCCTAAAAATTTCAGGTCATGATCTATCTTAACCCCTGAAGTGGTAATGACATATATATTCGCCAACATATTTTTTATCCATGTTGATTATGACGGATATATACGCCAAGAATATTTTATTGAGGCCGTGCATGGCTATCACGAATACGTTCGCCTGTGATGATTCCACCGTACATATTATAAGAAATAAGAAACAATTATTACTTGTGTTTGTGATACCGGAAACACCAAAAGTTGCTGTCTGCCGCCATTTGATTTCGGTGTAAGGTAGCAGTCATTATTGCGTGGTTTTATATACCGGCTGTTTCCTGCTTGTTTGTGTTCAAACGTTAAAAGTACTTTTGATAATGGCTAGTTCTGATGTTGAAATGACTACAGATGATTCCAGTGATGATGAGAGTCAGTGCACTAGTTCTGACGAATCAGATGACGATTCTAATTTCAACGAGGATTTTGAAGAGAGTGATACCGAAAGTCAACAAGAACCTGATCATGATCCAAGTTTTGAAATTCCCTAGACAGAGAACGGGATTCCAAGGCCAGCGTTCCATTTTACGTCAAACAGTGGTGTGCAAGTAAACAATTTAAAGGATATAATGCGAATTTTTGAATATTTTTTAGATGATGATCTAATAGATATAATAATCAGAGAAACAAACAGATATGCATCGCAGTATACGAGAGATGTCTTTTAAGTTTTGCATATGGAAATAAAACAAGACGGTAGGTAGTTTTAAATGACTTTGTTGTTTTTCGAAGTATTCTCCAAGAAGATTAATACACATCTGCATGCGCTCGAACCAATTTTCGAAGCACTTATTCCACTCGTTTGCTGGCAGATCCAAAACGGCATTTTTGAATGCGTCAACTGCTTCTTCTGGTGACTGGAATCTTTAACCACGCATTCTGTTTTTAATTTTCGGGAAAGTAAAGAAATCGTTAGGACTTAGATCGGGACTATATGGAGGATGGTCCAATAATTCCACGTTTTCTTCCGTTAAATACTGCCTTATTTTTTGGACTGTGTGCGAGCTTGCATTATCTTGGTGGAGGATGATTCTTCTTTCGGGGTTGATTTTTTGTAGCTCGGTGATGACTTTTGGAAAACAAATGGTGGTATACCAATCCGCAGTAACAGTTCTTTGCTCATTAAGAGGAATTGTTGCAATATGACCCGCATTTGACACAAATGTCGCGACCATCTTTTTCGAAACACTTTCGAGAACGGATGACTTTTGTTAGCTTTTATTCACCTTGGAACACCCAAACAGCCGACTGTCGTTTATTTTCTGGTTCATAACAGTAAATCCACGATTCATCACCCCTAACAATGCTGTACACATTTTTTGGGTTTACGGAATTGAAACGGTCAAGCGTTTTTTCACACCAATTAACCCTGGCTGCTTTCTGCTCTTCAGTCAACAGGTGGGGTATCCAACGAGAAACTAATTTTCTTACTCCTAATTCTTCGTGTAAAATTTTTTGAATTGAGGTCTTTGAGATCTTTAGGGACGCCTCAATCTCGCGATATGTCACATGTCTATCTTCAATGATGAGTTTGCGCACAGCATCGGCGTTTTCCTGGGTGACTGCCACCCTGGGATCGTCGCTAAGACTCACCCGTCCACGTTTGAATTCTCCATATCAACGGGAAATTGTCGACTGATATGGTGCTTCGTTGCCTAAAACAGACAGTAACTTAGCAAGGCATTCTTTTGCGATAATTGTCTCTGAAAGTTGTAATAAATTATGGCGCAAAAATGTTCTCGGTTGAGTTCCATTTTGCTAATGACTTGGTGACACTTAAAAATTCGCTCTAGTAAGAATATTGCACGTATTGTTGTGAAACTTTGAATTTAAGTTTACTAAAGAGTGAGGTTAAGATTCAGTACTGATGTTCGATCCGCGCGGCGTACTATGTTTCTATATGCAAAACTTAAAAGACATCCCTCGTATTTCTTCGAATCGAGATAACCTCAAGCCAAATTCCCGAGCTAAGAAATGGTTTGATAGTAATGAAATTAGGACCCTTATCGAGTTGCTAATACTACAGAGCATCTGTCCTAAGCCTCAGTACAAAATATACTTTTCACGACGAGAGAGCATCGAGACTACTTTTTTCTCTAAAGTTATGATTTCATTTGTTGCTAAAGTTTTTAAACTTTGTAGATAATTCTACTATAAATTCACATACAAAAACCTCAAAACTGATAAAAGTTTTACCAGTTTTGGATTTGATGAAAAAAAAAGTATATGTCAGCTTATATACCAGAACAAAACATTGCCATAGATGAGTCCTTGACAGGATGGAAAGGCAGACTTGCTTGGAAACAGTACATACCTGTACCTCGAAAAGGAAACGATTTGGCATGAAAGTTTTTGCCTTATGTGAAAGTCGCAATGATTACATGTACAACTTTACAGATACTGAATACAATGCTTTGTAAATAAATGAACCACTTACTTCGAGGGTAGTGTTGACATTGATTCATCCTCTTTTAGATAAGGGATACCGCATGTTTTTAGATAATTCTTATACAAGCATAGACCTGTGCGACAAACTAGTAAAAAGAAGGACGGATAGCGTTGGCGCAATGAGAATAAATAGAAAAGGAATACCACGGGAATTAAAAGTAAAATTGCAGAGAGGAGAAATTGTAGCGCGTTTTAAAAAAAACTCATGATTCAGAAATAGGGCGACAAGAGAGACGTCCTTATGATAAGCACAGTCCACAATGACAGCATGAAGAAAATTGCAGCAAGGAGTGGGGACATTGAAAAGCCATCTTGCGTAATCGATAACAATGCCAGCAGGGGTGGTGTTGATTTATCTGACAATTACCTCCACTTTTATGGAATTGCTCGTACTAGAGTTAAAAAATACTGCATGAAGATGTTTCTCCATTTTTTAAGTGTCACTACGTTGAATGCCTTTCAAATTTGTTAGAAGAATGGCGGAAAGCTAAAAAGACTGAACTTTTTACTGGAGCTGGGTGATAAGATAATGGATAAATACAGAAAAATAGAACGTCTAGAACGCCAATGCCCACAAGATTGATTGACATTTTCGATCAATAATACCACCAACAACAGGAGCAAAACCGACAAAAAGTCAAAAACTTATCACTTTACGTTTATCTTATTGCGTTTTTCTTTACTTCGGATGCGTTGTATGTGCTGAAAGAAAGCAGCGAAAAGAGAGTCGTTATTGGTGCCTAGAGTGTCGTACTGGTCTCTGTCCTGCACCTTGTTTTGGGATATACAGGTAACATACGAAAGAATAATTTTTTCTACTAAATAGTAGTAGTAGTCGGCTGTATTTTGTTTTTAAATAAATAAGTTTCAAGTAATTTTATGTACATTTCTTGTTTAAAAACAATAGGTACTAACCATGGTGGCTTTTCGTACATGTACGCATTTCATTTAAAGTAACCCAATTCACGTGACTTTGACGAATATGTACGCCTGCGCTTCTATTATCAGTGGCAAAGACGAATATGTACGCAAGCGGTAAGATGACGTGCCACCTGAAAAGTCATCGCTGAAAGCAGCTACGGCCACTTAAGGCGGCTCCGACGCAGTGAGTTTCAGGCCATTTACAAGGGTTCAGCTGCTTCGAAACTGACACTCCATTTTTCAATATTTTTGAATGAAATTCATATAGTATGTTGAGAAGATAATTGCCCAGGGTGCTGTAGGAGCACTTTTTGATATTTTGTTTTTGCACAAGGTTTATGATGGGTTGAAGTGCGCACTTTTTCTGTTCAACTTCGCGATTTTTTTGAAAAGAACCTAATGAAAAATTGAAAAAGTGACTCTATAGTACCCTGTGGGGTTTTGTTTTCAGCACTTTGTGAAAATTTAATCCAAAAATATCAGAAAATAGAGCGTCAATTTCGAAGCGCGTAAACCTCTACAAATCGTATTTTGGACGAACTTTAGGTACCTTTACACTTACACTCTTTCGCGTGGGGTTCGAACGGCGTTCCAATCGTGCGGCCAATAGGTACCTTTACACTTACACTCTTTCGCGTGGGTTTTGAACGTGACGTTCCAATCGTGCGCGCAAGAACGGTAATGTAGATGTGAGTCGGGCATGTGCGCAAACACTTCGTACTTTAGTAAAGACTTGATTGCGGGAGAAGAACGTGAAGGTTTTTTGTGCATAATTTGAGTGTGCGTGAGTGATTGGCACGCGGTATAACAAATAAAATAATTACATTGTAAGTAAAGTTTATTATTGTAAAATTGTAAATTACATTTTAATTCATTTTTACAGATATTTTCAATAAATACTCATTTTGTGTGCCATGGGAGACAGTAGGTACTGGTCGAAAGAGTTTATAAGGCATTTTATTGAAGTTTATAAATCGTATCCGTGTCTATGGAAGGTCAGGTCTAAAGACTATACAAATAAAAACCTAAAAAATAAAGCTTACGAGAAATTGGTAGAGGTCTGCAAAACCATTTTTCCTGAGGCAAATAAAGACTATGTTATAAAAAAGATTCAAAGCTTCAGAGATTCTTTTCGCAAGGAAGTAAAAAAGGTGGCAGAATCAATGCGAAGTGGAGCTGGGGCAGATGATGTCTACATACCCACTTTATGGTACTACGACCTATTGTTATTTACCAGTGATCAGGAAATACCAACCGCTAGTATAAGCAATATGGATACGGACGAATTAGAGGCAGGATGTGACAATGGGGCAGGAGAACATGCAGAGAATAATGAATGCCAAATACTACAAGAGCATAATAATGAAAGTGAATCTCAGGATACTGAATTACAAGAAAACACAGACACAGGCGTAAAAAAAAATTATTAACACAGGTGAGTTATAATAATATAAATTAAGCTTTTCCTTTCTTTATCATGTCAAGTTGCCACGGAACTTTTCCTTCCAAATTAAAATATTGTTTGTACTTCTCGCGATTACTTTTAGCGTTTATTGTTACATTTTTTTGCGTACTTGTTCGTAAACTGGTAAGTTCGGTACTGCTATTCCGCCATTCACCCATTTGTAATTCGTGAGTCGCCAAATCTTCGTGATCAAACGATCTGGGAGGTACATAAGAAGTCGTGCGTCTTATAAGAAAATTGTGCAAAGCACAAATAGCCAAAACCACGTAGGTGATATTTTGTGGATCGGTAATGTGTATGGCTGTGTGTAAAACTCGAAAACGTGCAGCTAGTAAACCAAAAGTATTCTCAACACCATTGCGTGCACGGGATAAACGGTAGTTAAAAACTCTATTTTCCAATGATAGATCTCTTTGAGGATACGGTTTCAAAAAATTTTCGTGCAGTGAAAATGCTTCATCGCCTAAGAAAACGTAATTAAGATGTTTCTCCGTTTCATCATTATTCGGCAAATGTAATTGACCTGAAAAAATTATCGTTTTAATAAAAAAAACCTCTTGCATAAAAAAATGACCTTTATTTTATACCTTTTGTCAATTTATCATAAAATTCTGTGTACTCCAAAATTCCTCCATCGGAATGTCTTCCATTTTTCCCAACATCGATGTAAATAAATTCATAATTTGCGTTTACAAGCGCTAGTAGAACGATGCTATAAAAGTTTTTGTAGTTGTAATATTGAGCTCCCGAATGAGGAGGCGGAACAATGCGTATATGCTTCCCGTCAAGGGCTCCCCTACAATTTATAAACTGCCATTGATTTTTAAAATCCGATGCTACTTGGCACCAATCGTCTTTTGTTTTTGGAAACTGGAATAAAATAATACTTTTAATTTTTTTTTTAGAATTCGCATGCTTCACAATCAAAACCACCCCTTTCCACACCCAAATCTACAAACGTGACCACAAGGCAAAAAGTCAAGAGCAACTTTAATAAACAAAATGCTGAATTCATGCAATTTTGCAGAAACCAGTTGCAAATGACAAACAATGTTATTAGTGAATATGATGCAGTTGGAATTTCATGGAGCGAAAAATTAAAACGGATGGATTCCACTCAAGCCATTTTGGCCGAAGCATTGGTTAATAAAGTTATGACCCAAGGATTATTAAAAAAGTTGACATGTACTACAACCCTGTCGGATACAGAGGAGACACGAAATACTTCAATTTCATCCTGCAGTCGATACACGGTATTATCAAATTCTTCTGGTCAGCAATGGCAGTTTACATCACCATCAGACCAGGACTGTAATCAACAGAGGCAGGTTTTATCACCTTCGGAGCAAGAATCTGATCAACAGTGGCAGGTTACATCACCACCAGTGACAGAACAAGCAATCGAGACCTCTTCAACAAATATAGTGGATTTTTATAATACTGCTGCAGATAATATAGATGGGTAAAACCCCTACCTAGCAGCAAATATTTTCTTTTTTAAAGTTGTTCTTTTCACTGTTCTTTTTTTTTACGAAACCATTTATTTTTAAGATATACCTACTTGCTGTTCGCTAAAAAATAATTATGTTTTTATTTTTAATAAACTTACCTTCAAATAAGTTTCTTTAAGAACCTGATATATGGCTTTGCATGTTTCGGGTATGATATAGCATAAGGAAGATGGTGATATTCCAGTAGAAAATTTAAGATCTTCATAGGAGCGACCTGTCGCTAAGTAGCGTAATGTGGCAGCTAGTCTTTCCTCCGCACGAATACTTTCTCACATCTTCGTGTTTTGTTTAGAAATAATAGGTGAGATCAATTCTAATAATATATTAAATGTATCAAAGTCCATACGAAGATAATTTTTAAAATCACTAGGATAATCTTGTCTTAGTTCTTTTAATAGTGGCATGTGACCATATTTGTTACGATCCTCCATCCATTTTTTCACCCATATGCTTCTTTTTCTTTTATTATTTATAAAATTTATTTGTACAGCCATACAAAGAGCCACTTTTAATTTATGCTGCTTTATTTTGTACATTTTTTTATATCAATCCTTTCAGAATTTCTAAAACGCCTGGAGAACGGTCAAATCCGCGCGATAACCAACACTTTTTACTTTACACTGACATGTTTTTCCTTTTACGTTATATACGCGCGGTTAAGTCTGCGCGAATGGAACGTTGAATTTTTTATTTTTCTAGTAACACACTCTTGGAATGCTACGTTCTTGAAGCGCATTATTGGCCGCACGATTGGAACGCCGTTCAAACCCCACGCGAAAGAGTGTAAGTGTAAAGGTACCTAATAATGCGCTTCAAGAACGTAGCGTTCCAAGAGTGTGTTACTAGAAAAATAAAAAATTCAACGTTCCATTCGCGCAGACTTAACCGCGCGTATATAACGTAAAAGGAAAAACATGTCAGTGTAAAGTAAAAAGTGTTGGTTATCGCGCGGATTTGACCGTTCTCCAGGCGTTTTAGAAATTCTGAAAGGATTGATATAAAAAAATGTACAAAATAAAGCAGCATAAATTAAAAGTGGCTCTTTGTATGGCTGTACAAATAAATTTTATAAATAATAAAAGAAAAAGAAGCATATGGGTGAAAAAATGGATGGAGGATCGTAACAAATATGGTCACATGCCACTATTAAAAGAACTAAGACAAGATTATCCTAGTGATTTTAAAAATTATCTTCGTATGGACGTTGATACATTTAATATATTATTAGAATTGATCTCACCTATTATTTCTAAACAAAACACGAAGATGAGAGAAAGTATTAGTGCGGAGGAAAGACTAGCTGCCACATTACGCTACTTAGCGACAGGTCGCTCCTATGAAGATCTTAAATTTTCTACTGGAATATCACCATCTTCCTTATGCTACATCATACCCGAAACATGCAAAGCCATATATCAGGTTCTTAAAGAAACTTATTTGAAGGTAAGTTTATTAAAAATAAAAACATAATTATTTTTTAGCGAACAGCAAGTAGGTATATCTTAAAAATAAATGGTTTCATAGATAAAAAGAACAGTGAAAAGAACAACATTAAAAAAGAAAATATTTGCTGCTAGGTAGGGGTTTTACCCATCTATATTATCTGCACCAGTATTATAAAAATCCACTATATTTGTTGAAGAGGTCTCGATTGCTTGTTCTGTCACTGGTGGTGATGTAACCTGCCACTGTTGATCAGATTCTTGCTCCGAAGGTGATAAAACCTGCCTCTGTTGATTACAGTCCTGGTCTGATGGTGATGTAAACTGCCATTGCTGACCAGAAGAATTTGATAATACCGTGTATCGACTGCAGGATGAAATTGAAGTATTTCGGGTCTCCTCTGTATCCGACAGGGTTGTAGTACATGTCAACTTTTTTAATAATCCTTGGGTCATAACTTTATTAACCAATGCTTCGGCCAAAATGGCTTGAGTGGAATCCATCTGTTTTAATTTTTTGCTCCATGAAATTCCAACTGCATCATATTCACTAATAACATTGTTTGTCATTTGCAACTGGTTTCTGCAAAATTGCATGAATTCAGCATTTTGTTTATTAAAGTTGCTCTTGACTTTTTGCCTTGTGGTCACGTTTGTAGATTTGGGTGTGGAAAGGGGTGGTTTTGATTGTGAAGCATGCGAATTCTAAAAAAAAAAATTAAAAGTATTATTTTATTCCAGTTTCCAAAAACGAAAGACGATTGGTGCCAAGTAGCATCGGATTTTAAAAATCAATGGCAGTTTATAAATTGTGGGGGAGCCCTTGACGGGAAGCATATACGCATTGTTCCGCCTCCTCATTCGGGAGCTCAATATTACAACTACAAAAACTTTTATAGCATCGTTCTACTAGCGCTTGTAAACGCAAATTATGAATTTATTTACATCGATGTTGGGAAAAATGGAAGACATTCCGATGGAGGAATTTTGGAGTACACAGAATTTTATGATAAATTGACAAAAGGTATAAAATAAAGGTCATTTTTTTATGCAAGAGGTTTTTTTTATTAAAACGATAATTTTTTCAGGTCAATTACATTTGCCGAATAATGATGAAACGGAGAAACATCTTAATTACGTTTTCTTAGGCGATGAAGCATTTTCACTGCACGAAAATTTTTTGAAACCGTATCCTCAAAGAGATCTATCATTGGAAAATAGAGTTTTTAACTACCGTTTATCCCGTGCACGCAATGGTGTTGAGAATACTTTTGGTTTACTAGCTGCACGTTTTCGAGTTTTACACACAGCCATACACATTACCGATCCACAAAATATCACCTACGTGGTTTTGGCTATTTGTGCTTTGCACAATTTTCTTATAAGACGCACGACTTCTTATGTACCTCCCAGATCGTTTGATCACGAAGATTTGGCGACTCACGAATTACAAATGGGTGAATGGCGGAATAGCAGTACCGAACTTACCAGTTTACGAACAAGTACGCAAAAAAATGTAACAATAAACGCTAAAAGTAATCGCGAGAAGTACAAACAATATTTTAATTTGAAAGGAAAAGTTCCGTGGCAACTTGACATGATAAAGAAAGGAAAAGCTTAATTTATATTATTATAACTCACCTGTGTTAATAATTTTTTTTTACGCCTGTGTCTGTGTTTTCTTGTAATTCAGTATCCTGAGATTCACTTTCATTATTATGCTCTTGTAGTATTTGGCATTCATTATTCTCTGCATGTTCTCCTGCCCCATTGTCACATCCTGCCTCTAATTCGTCCGTATCCATATTGCTTATACTAGCGGTTGGTATTTCCTGATCACTGGTAAATAACAATAGGTCGTAGTACCATAAAGTGGGTATGTAGACATCATCTGCCCCAGCTCCACTTCGCATTGATTCTGCCACCTTTTTTACTTCCTTGCGAAAAGAACCTCTGAAGCTTTGAATCTTTTTTATAACATAGTCTTTATTTGCCTCAGGAAAAATGGTTTTGCAGACCTCTACCAATTTCTCGTAAGCTTTATTTTTTAGGTTTTTATTTGTATAGTCTTTTGACCTGACCTTCCATAGACACGGATACGATTTATAAGCTTCAATAAAATGCCTTATAAACTCTTTCGACCAGTACCTACTGTCTCCCATGGCACACAAAATAAGTATTTATTGAAAATATCTGTAAAAATGAATTAAAATGTAATTTACAATTTTACAATAATAAACTTTACTTACAATGTAATTATTTTATTTGTTATACCGCGTGCCAATCACTCACGCACACTCAAATTATGCACAAAAAACCTTCACGTTCTTCTCCCGCAATCAAGTCTTTACTAAAGTACGAAGTGTTTGCGCACATGCCCGACTCACATCTACATTACCGTTCTTGCGCGCACGATTGGAACGTCACGTTCAAAACCCACGCGAAAGAGTGTAAGTGTAAAGGTACCTTTTGTCTGCTGTTTCGTACTGCCAAACCAAGCGTTGCGGCGCAATGTACGGACTTAGAAAGGACGTATTCAGATAATTTGGTGGCCCTATTTCATATAATATCGCGTAGATAAGTCGTTCTGCAAATAGGTACTCATAATCGCGATCGCTGATACTCCTCGATTTTAAAGCCGTTTTACTTCCCACGTCATTGGCGAGGAAGTATTGTAATCGCAAAAAATTTCTAAAATGAGATGTTATCTTTTTTTAAGTCATATGACATCTACATCACGAAAAACTGTATCACTCATCGTCAACTTTGATTTAACTCTGAGCTCATAGATGATAGCGCTGCCTATGCGGTCAGCTTGATGTAGGAAAAACTTCGCGCGCGCTTAAGCTGTGAGCAAATTTGATAAAAAATACTTTTTGATGGACCAGTGGCGGATTTAAGGAAAAGGACCCGGTCGGCAATATGCACTGAAGGGGCCCAGTGGTATGATCCGGAACAGACGGCAAATAGTGCGCACTATAACCGTTTTGCGAATAACATAAATTACTGCAATTATTGACAAATAAAATACTGCAATGGAAACTTTGAAAGTTGCATGATAACACAGAAATTAATAACAAAACTTAATGCGTAATGTCATGTTAGTGCAATCATACATTAGCCTAGTTTTTGCATTTAATAGTACGCACGGGCACGGGACAGGTTGTAATGCGTAATAATTTTTTGAGGTAAATTAAACTTGATGATTGACCAGCAAACTTCTTGTGCATAATAGAGTTTAAAAGTAATGACGGATGCTACCGATAAGTAAAGGGCGTCGAGTCAAATTTGGAGTGCACGCTATTTATAGAACTTGCATAAATTATAATTAAGAAAAAAACAAGTATATTCGATAGTTGTTGTCATGTGATTAATATTTCATTGAATACAAACTTGGTGAACAACACTAAAATACGTTAAATAACGTGCATTACTACAGGATATATACTGGGCACTATTTGCGAAAGTAATATTCACATTTATCGCTATTTGCATATTAATGACGGCAACTGAGAATAAAAAAATTAGAAAGTCCTGCACAAGTGACCGAAACAAGCTCATAGATAGTGCAAAAAGTTTTTTAATAGTAACTTGATGCAAAAAGTTAATCAGCTGTTTCAATATTCATGCGGATATAAAATTTTTCGATAACGTAAAATCCATCTAAATTGTTTAGATAAAATTCGAACTACAAGGTTTGCTGACAATTATGATGTCGCATATTAACAGGGGCTTAAAATTATATGCATAATAGTAGCTGCTGCGCACTGTTACCTCTGTTTTTTTACTAAATGTCTATATAACCTGGATCAAGTAGAGACTGTGAGATCAAACATTTTTTATTCAATACAAAATAACAGAGTTATCCTAATTCGAATCCGCGTCTTACTTTTCGTTCAGCAAAAACTTCCATCGCAGAATCCAAATTGAGTGTATTAGCTACTAAACTTTCGATATAGAGTTTAGAGAAGTTGTTGAGTGTGTCTTTAGCCAAACAAGCTCGACGGTATTCTTTAATAATTTTCAAAGAGCTCATGACACGTTTAGCACAAGCAGAAGTCAAAAACAATCTGAATAAACTGCAGCTCTCTGGAAAAATGTCTACAAAATTGTTTGCAATCATGAACTTAAAATAATCTGGCGGCCTGTCGTTAGTAAAGTTACGAATTACGAAATCCTTCAGTACGTTCTTTCAATTCGTTACTCATTGAATCCAAAACTTCGCAGTAATTTATTCGATGTTTTTCGTGTGTTTCCAGTGGCGAGTCAGCAGCTTTTTCGTCAAAAATTTTTTTGATTTTCCTCTTTCTGGCAGTGGGATAACCAGGATTTTCCCATTCCATCTCTTCCCATTTATTCTTAGCCTTCAGAACAAAATTATCGTAAGTGCTTTCGCTCCTCAAATCTTTTAATTTTTTTATGCTGCTGAAATGCACCTTTGAGCCATCATCAAGTCTATTTCTTTCTTTTGCATTTGAGCTTGCACGGTATTCATTACGCTCAATACTGAGTGCCACCATAACAAATTGAAAAAAAAGGTCCAGTTCATGGAGGAAAGGAGAGATCTTGCATTCATTATATCTTCGCCAGAAGCTCCCACTCTTGAAATTTCATCTTCTATACAATTGATAATACATTCAAAAAATTTCTTCCACGATATTATCACGAAGAAAATAGATATGTCATTAAATAAAAAAACGCACAGTATTGTGAAAGTTTATGGTTATAAGCATTGAAGACGTGAAAAGACTGTAATAGACGCATTAGAGTCTGTATTAGACTAAAAGAGGCTGATTATATATATCACTGTAAGCACAAAATGAAAAAATAACCCCCCACTCCTTGAAAAATAAAAGGGTCATTCGGTAATTTTTTTAGAAATTAAATAGTCATTATTCAGAAAATTTCTTAAGAAATGAAAGGGAAATTTTCTTATTCAAACTGAATGCTAACGCGCTGTTTCATAAACATTACGCAAAAGGTCATTAAAAGAAAATAATAAAATAGTCTGATTTCTTGTTATCAATTTTACATTCAGAAGCGCTGAACAATATAGACACTAGAGCTGATTTTTGGGGCCCTGTGACCACCCTTCCTTGGGGGGCCCAGGCGGCAATGTCCATTTTTCCAATACTTAAATCCGCCACTGTGACGGACAAACCCACAAAAAAGTTGTTGCACGGGATTAGAAGGAGATGGTAAGTATTAATGTTAATCGATTCGCAGAAAGACCAACAAGAAGTAAAAATTTTGTTATTCAACAATAAATTGTTAATTTTTAAATTAGATTTAATATTTTAATTACTTTTAGGCTGTACTCTAAGGGTACAAGGGTAGGGTTGTCATCTGCCATCCGTCCGCCAGTCAAGTTTATAATTTTTATGTCAGAGGCACTGGATCCGCCGTTGCGTCGGACAACAAACCACCACCGTACTTGAGCTTCTTTGCACCCTAATGGCCATTGTACAATGTAGTGTACAATGATCGAATGCCTAAAGCATAACTATCCCTAACTTAAAAATCACAATAACCATTTTATCTATATGGTTGAAAAGATGACTCTAACCTAAACAAACATATAGCTAAAATTTTTTTAATGAATTAATTATTAGTAGGTGTTCTTTTTCTATCTCACTTTGTATATTCCCAAATTCCATATCTGTGGTATATACTTTTCTGTTAATGATCAAATTGAAATTATATATCGCAAATTAGATATTTCGGTCGAGAGCTTCCGTTCATACAAAAACACTTGAAAATAGTAATATCAGTGAGGTATACGGTATACTTGTATTTTTTAACCCTCAAGCTACGTTTCCACTTCAATAAAACACGCCAACATGTACCAGAAACAAAAACGGTTTGCAGCATTTAACGGCACAGACGCCGGAGACTTCAAGTGAATGTGGTGCGCAACATCAGCTGGTACGTTACAGCCGTTTGAATGTTTTCGACTGTCCCTAAATGAGTTCCCTTGAGGTGATTTTTCAACTTCCAGAAGAGAAGAAAATCACAACGACACAAGTCAATAAGGAGTCTGTGAAGCCACAGGAATATTTTTACTAGCCAAAAACTCGTTTATTGACATTGATGTGTGACAATGAGCATTATAGGGATGCAACACCCATTTGTTCTCTGACTGTAAACCGACGATCTGTTGATATTTTCATCGGTTCTTGAAGATGATGGCCTTACGGTTCGAGATTCATCTCCAATCGACTCTCTACCTTCTGAAAATGCCTTAAACCACCGAAAAACCTGAGCACTTGGCAAAACACTTTCTCCGTAGGCAAGAGTTTCTGTTGCAGAACGTAGCTCGAAATTTATGTCAATCATTTTTAGAACACATTAAAAATTGCTACGGACAGAGAAATGGCTCGAGCGGGTTCAAACTTGTATTCAAGGCAGATCACATGTTCCCCTATCTCCCCTCCGAGCCCGGCGCCTCCACTGATGCCAGATGGAACGCTATGTTGCCAGACTCCTCACAGACGTATGCTGGCCTTGAGAATTTGCGCTTACCACCTGGGCACTTTTCATGAATACATAGAATCTGATTGGGATGCCCATTCACTCTCTTACGCTGAATCCGTCCGTCGACCAATCAGCGTCAAGCTGTCCGGTCTCGCTATCAAGCCACAATTTTGTGATAGTGTGTTCACTTTCTGGTTTGACAATGTTCACGTTGTCTCATTAACGAGACATTAGGATATACTCAACTATATAACTTAGAAGTGTATAATCTAAACAGTATTCCATTTAGTTTGAGATGGCAATCTCAATTTCTTCAAAAATCGTCTACATGACAAACACAAGGAAATAATAAAACCGGAAAAATAAGCATCCTAATGGTAACAAAAATGTTTATCAAATACGTTTTTATAATATTTTCTCAAAAACAAAATGGCATCAAGTAGATTGACTCTATACCTTCCATGCCTTCAAAACAACTTTTAGCACAATTTTCCATGGACTGCAATGGCATAAAAAAGACGTAGGTTTTGTCAGAAGCATTGGTGCACTATTTGGGTTTTTGGTATACATTTTTTTTTGTCAACAATGTTTGATACCTGATAATATGTATATACTGTATGTACTATATAATATTACCTCGCGAAATCAACCCACCAATTGTTCACTTTGCCAGGTTTTCCCCTGTGTCTTTTAAGGATGTTAAAACATGCAAAATTAAATCATGTGGCATGTCAAAAATCAATATTTAAATGTAATTTTCAATAATAAACAATAAAAGATAAGACTAATATGATTCTTTTGTTTACGTTGTATACCACTAACACTACTAAAACAACGTAAGTCTAAGCCCGTTTTTCTGGCTTTTTACAAATATATCATTGTTATTATTATTAATGAGCTGTGAAGGTTATTCGGAAATACAATCTTTCGGAAGCCACATACTATATTAAGCCCAAAAAGTACTGGTTTATTTGTCAAAGGCACAATTTTTATTGAAAAAATCAAATTGTGTGATTTGTTTTTGCAAGGGCTGGTTCAATCTTACAAAGCTCTTATCAAAACAGCGGTACTCAGAAACAGCACCAAGAAAAATCCCAATTTCGTCATTGCTCAGGTAGTCCAGTATAGCTCCCTAGAATATATGCACTGGTACTAAGGTTTCGTTAGTACTCGAAGTCAATATTATCTAATCATTACAAAATAGATATGCCAAAAGATTGTTCACGCACAGCGCTCGAGATTTTACGGGAATGATTCAACAGAAACACACAAATTCGTCCGTTCAAGTTTTATAATGATGCTTTGATTAGAAGTACTCATTTGCAGAATGACTACAAATTATGTTCATCAATGGAAACGTTCTGAAGGTGAATTTGCAATTGCGGCATGACTGATTGGTCCTCAAAAAATGTATATATCAATAACAAGCATCTTTTTTATACCGAAGCAGCTGAATAAACCTAAATACCAGCTTTGTGGTATCCGTTTTTTTTCTTGAACTGCCCAAGATTAGAAGAACTGGGAATAGCCTCCTCGGGTAGATTGTTACACAATCTCGTTTCCTTAGGGATAAAGGAGTGGTCGTATGGACCAGTTCTGGATGTACAGAGTTCAGGAGGCTCTGTCTGGCAGGCACATCGCGCGGCGGTATCATGGAGGAGAGGTCTGAGGAGCAAAACCTGTCGGCATAGCTGTAGAAGAGTGCTAGAGACCTGACAGAAGAATTCGGAAAAACAATTTCGCAGTTACATGAAATGTATATTAAGGTGGTCGATTTTTGCTTAACGTATTCTACCCGAAGGAACCTGAAAGATCCTATCTCAATCTATGAGACACTGGCAGAGTTCAAAAATATCTATTTTAACAAGCGTTAGAATGTTATATTTTGCTGCTGTCCCATTAGATGGCGCTAGAATCTTCAATCCCTTTTCGGCGTCACTCGAATGCCTATTTTATTTATGATTTCTTGTACAATAATAGGCGAATCACCATATATTTTGTCGGTCAGGCGTCACTCAGTGTTAGGTCCTCGAGTAACAGCTGCACTGATTTGAGAATGCCAACAAGAACTGAACGCACTGGCGGAACACAGCAAAATGTAACTTTCGGACGGCTTCACCAAAGGAAGGAATGCCTGTTTCAAGAGGAATACCTACGTTAATAATCAATGCCTGAAGATACCCGATAAAGTAGGCATTAGAGAGTTACCAAAAAAGGGGTTATCTATGAGACAGTAACGGAACCAAACCCTCGAACTCTTTTCAGAGTAGATTTCTAAATATATTCTGCTATTGTGTCATAGTTGGCGTTAGTATTCGTTCAGCAAGATTTCCGTAATACGTAATCACTTTCCTTTAAAGCATGGACTGGTTAGATTTTATAAGGATGAAGACCCATTTTTTTCTTCATTATGCCATGGAGTGTTGACCTAGTGATTCCCAAAGCAGCCAAGAGAACGCAAAGGATTTGCAATGACCGAATCACTTATTCGACGCACATTTTCTTCGCTTGATACAGTAGATGTGGGTTGACTAAGGGTAGAGCTTGTTTCACTGAACCTCTTAATCCACTTCTTCAAAAGCTTCTTACTTGGGGCGTCTCTTGATCAGCGAATGTATCGTGTACAAAAATTCCGAAGGTCCGCTGCATATGAATCACCACTCTTAAAGTAAGCCTCGATAGCTAAAATACATTACGCTCCGGGCCAACGTTCCATTGCGATTATTTAACCCGCACGCCGATCAAGACTTAATCGCGTACACGGTTGCCGCGTAATTCAAATTTGGAATGTGCACTTTCCCACTTTACACCCTGTATAAAAACGGAAGTGTCTTTTAATTTTGTAGGTACCTTGTGTAAGATTCATATATTTTCTTACTCAGTTTCTTTCTTTAAGTTTCCATGAAAAAAACAATAAAAATCAAAGATTTTTTTTTATTATACAATTAATTTGTCCAACCTCGCTGTGACACTGTGTATCAAATGTTGTTTTACATTTTATTCAATCTAGTCAAGTATTTTTAATTTTTTATATATTTTATAACTTAAGTATTCAAAACAGCGATATTCGAACACTTTTGGTCTTTGTATACAAATTCTTGAGTATATGATATAATAAAGTGTTCAGGATTCGTATTAGAATACCGTTGAGTATTCGACCCAAGTTTGGCGGGCAGAGAATTTTTTTAACCTCCTGAAATCATCTATGCGAAAAAACTCGATTTTCTTTCAGACTGTTTAATCCCGGCAATTCCAAGCAATCCTTGTCCACCTTTTGCTTCCCCGACTTTTCCGCGTCTTTTATATTATAAAAAACATTGACTTGGTGCGCAAGAGGATGTCGTTTTCCAAAAATAAAAGAACCATTTTACAAAACAATATATTGCTCTAACTTACATCATACAAAAAAAAACTGTATTTACACATACAAAAGAAATCAACGCTTAAAATAATGTACCGATGCGGAACATACAGATCTAAAATAAATAACTAGCAGTTTTCAGTAATAATATACAAAATAGGCGCAAATTAACTTTTTTTAACGAACCATAAAGAAAACAATTTTTATACTATAAACAAGCATGGAAACACAAATTTTGCTTCTATGCAAAACAGAGCTACAGAAGATTGCATTAAGACACATAATTAATTCCATCACAACAGGGAGATCTCTATAAGTCATTGTACAAAATAATGCACATATCGTCAAACTGCGATTAGTACTTTAGATGCAGCCTTGATCAAAAGCATTAGGGCAAATATATAAAGTGACAATCTTTTTCAGAATTAACCTTCGTTAACCTACTCGTCAATATTAAAACACGATCGAAACATTTTTTTAAATACAGGTAGTTCCTTAATCGCATGCTTATATTTAAGAAAATGAGTCGTGGGCCCCTTTTAAGAAAAAAATTCACATGACCGTATGTCCTAAACGTCTTGACCTTTGAGAAATAGGGCGGTAAAGTTTTCGGAAAAAAGTCTGTATATCGAAGGTTAAGACATTTAGGACATATATATTCATATGATTTTGTTCCAAGAACCACCTGCTTAAATATTAGCATGTCAGTAAGGAACACGACTTTCTACATTTCAAGAAAAAATTTATCATGCGGCAACCAAACATGTCAAATAAATTAACTTTAATTTTATTGTTTGAATAAACTATCTGTCTGATTGCCCCATCACTTTTGACCTAAGCTTCAACCATACAACGTACATAAACTCAATTCAAATCTGATTTATCCCCACGTGAACACTAGATCCTTGAACTTGCAAATACCTCTAACCTTTTCTTCTGATAAAGCTGGTGCTCTTTCCTCGTTTGAAACTCTCTGCCAAGTTTATCCTAAATTTGTCCCGAAGAGGACATAGAACGTTATCATTTCCTGTCTCGTACCGTCATCTCCCAATGAAAAGTGTTCTTTAATTTCTTGTCCGTGAAGCCGATATACCAGGAGAAACTACGGCAATACTGTCCGTGCTATAAAAACGACCGCGAAACATGACGCCTGGAGCACCTGTGGTGCTTTGACAGGGTTGCCATGTTGGGGGATCTTCCCCAAATTTGGAGGATTTCCACAATCTTTTGGGGATATACTGTTCTGGTTTAAATCACACGTTTCGCAGATGGAAAGCACTCCTGCGCTCTTTGAACCAAACATACCCCTTTCCATCAATTACCTTTGATTCGGGTATTTTTTTTTGAAAATTAGCAATTCTGACAGATTCAAAAATTCTGTCCAACCCTTTTGGCAATGCTATGCTTTGACAGACACTTTCCTAAGAGCCTAAGGTCCGCCCACTTCAATTTGCATGTTTCTGTTTTTTGATAAAACTTTAATGATAAATAATTGTAGAATAGATTACCTGGCAGAGGCAATGCTCCTGTAATATGCTCTAGTATTATTTATCATTCATCAAAATTAGGTGTAAAAAACAGATACATGCAGGTAGGTTCAAGTGGCCGGACTAGGGATGCAACGATATATCGGAAAACCGATAAATATCGATATATCGACAACTAAAAATATCGATATTTATCGATATCGACGATACAAGAGATTAAAAATGCAGAATATACAAAAGGAGAAAAGTGTTCATATGGCGGATCTGTCAAAGCACAGCGTCGCCAAATGTGTTAGACACATTTTCCCCCAAAAAAAATCCACCAATCACAGTTAATTATGGAAAGGGGTAGTTTTGCTTCAAAGAATGGGGGGATGCTTTCTATGCGCGAAACGAGTGATCTCCCCCAGAACATTATATCCTCAAAAAATTCCCCACGACTAAGGAAAAAACCTACAACATGGCAGCGCTGTCAAAGCACCACTGGTACTCCAGGCGTCAAATTTGAGGTCATTTTACAGCACGAGCAGCATTGGCCGTAGTTTTTCGTGGTGTGCACGCTCAATGAGAAAAAACACGAGAAAGCTGGCTGCAAAGCATGGTTGCTCGCAAAGCTGTGAAATGAGACACTGTTGCCAGTTGACTACACTAGAACGAGCTCGTCCAGTTCGTGCGATATTTTGCATTAACTAATTCAAAGCACGCACCAAAAGAACATAAACATAACAGTGCAACACCAGTTTCGCCAAAAGAAAACCCTATTCTACTCTCTTATCGATAACGCGTTAGTGTTTGCTCTGACGAGGAATAAAAGGGATCTGAATAGAATGTCCTGTCACAGCTCCTCAGGCCCATTTTAATTATCGTGCAACTGTTGCATTAATCTTTGATTGTAAGCTTCGTAAAAGTCGATCGCTTTTGAGGGCGCTGAAGGTGGTGGACACGGTGTAGTTGTCGGCGTTGAGGTATCCACGGAAGGTGGTCTACTTGGGAGAGGTAGGGGCGGATAAAACCCTGGAGGAGGTCGGAGGGAGGTTTTAGGCGGGTACTGTTGCTGGTATGATCCTTGCAGATGATATGGAGCTTGTTGGTGATACGCTGGGCCCATGCCTGGGTTGTACTGCAAATAAAAATAGAAAATGATAGAAAAAGTATTCTGATTTGGTTTTTCGCATGTTGGTCGGCCCAAAATTGCGTCTAAAATTTTTTTTAACAATTTTTTCAAATTCCTTAAATTATTTTTATGTCCATAACAAGTTTTTTTAGATTTTTTCGGCAGTGACGGAAAAAAGTTATAAAGATTTATATATATATATATATATATATATATATATATATATAATGTATATATGGCAATAATTTTTGTGTCACTTCTTTGGCTACTTCTACTAATTCCGGTGGAGTCAAAGAAAACTCGGAATCATACATTTTTTACTTTATAATATCAAAAATAACTTCTAAACGACCAAGTTCATATTTTTTAAATCAAATCTCAAAATTAAATTGACAGCTATTTAATTACTTTAAAAGTTGCCTTAGCAGCGCAGGTCTAATTGTCGCTATAAGTACAACATAGCAGACTAATTTCAAAATTCAAATTTCACATCGGTAATTTTCTTTATTGTAATAATATAATTTTTCAATATTAAATCGTCGTTTTTCCCGTCACAGATAAAAATTTTGTATTATACACGGAAAAAATTCTAGATTTTAGCTTGAGGTTGTATTGTCACCCGACGCGAAAAGAAAAAACGGAAGACCTGGTAACACTGCGTTCAATGTATATTCTGCGACATCTCCGCCGCGACCAGCAGCTTCTCGTATGCTGTGTGCCGCATCTACATCAGCAGAGGAAAAATAACTTCCTAAGCATCTCAAAATGACATGAAACGAACAAATGTCGTCCACCACATAGGCGTCTCGTCACTGATGGGAGTATTTTTTGCATAAACTTTTCACTGAGGTACAGCTTACTTGTGATCTGAACTGCATCCTGCTCCATAGCATTTGCATCATCCAAGGTTGCATGGGATTATAGTCAGGATAACCGTAGCTTGGTGCTGGACAGCGGGGACCGTACCTATAGAAACAGTAATATATACACTACTGGCTTTTGGATTGGTGGTTAGTGAATCTCAACTTCAAAACGAAAGACCAAATCGAAATGAAAAAATCTTAATATGCAAGAATATTTATTACAACATTAACGAATTTTATTATTTTGGGGCCACTCCGCAAATATACTGTTAAAAAAATAAGAGGGCGTGAATTACGAGAGGCAAATTTGACGATTTTCTCAAACCGCCTCTCCTGCCCTGGTGAGTTGTCGTGAGGTTTGGTTCAACCCCTCCCTCCGTCCCTAACTACACTTGAAATTTTTCAAAATATCTATTTTTACTGTAAATGTGGATTTATTTCAAAAAACATAATTAGTCTCATTATTTTTATTTAAGATTAGTTGACAGTATATGAGCAAGATAAATATTAATGAGTCACATTTTGCAATATTTTAATCAAGAAGCATGTTTTGCTTTAAACCATTTTTTTGAAATCGTACACACGCGGGTAACAATACGTGATATTCACCTAAACGCCCCCACGTCAGACTGGGTGAGATTCGACTAGAAATATCAAAACTACACTACTCAGAAAAATTAAAGGAGCAAGAAAAAATCGAAATATTTCAGTGATTTTTGTAGAAAATGATCGTATCTAGACTTTGGGCCAAAAAGAGTCAAAAAAGGTTACTTTTGCTTTGTTTTGGAAAATCGACTACCTTTGTACAATTGCTAATGAAAATGGTAACGTTTTTAGTTTTTTTATACCTCAATGTACACGATGGCAGATCGATCCAGGGTACGGTTTCTCAGGACCGATTGGTCAACATTTGAAAGAAATCAAAAGAGCAAATTTTTTGTATCAAAACAACCGGTACGAGTATTATGTAAAAAACGTCAAAAAACATATAAAATGTCATCTTGCAGAATAGGTTGTTTGCTAGGGTGCAAAAACATCATTCCACGTTTGCTCACTAGGCTCGTTGTGAACGTCCATCTGTGGAGGATCGGCTCTACTACACGCATTGTTGGTTGCATATGTTTTGTGAAGCCAAGTAGTCTGTAGCTTTCATCTCTAAGAAGAAAGTTCTGGATGATTATGTGTATTGGTCTGCATGTGTAAAAAATCAGTGATATTTGCTGTGTGAGAAAATCATTACTGAATATGATGCCAATATATTTTATATGTTGTCCTTTCTGAAGATAGGTTATGTTCAAGTGATAATTTTTTTACGTTTTTTTGTGTTTTCAAAACCTTTGAGGACGACCAGAATGAGTAAGATCGGACACTGAATTTGCATCATTTTCAAATGTTGACCATCGGTAATGAGAAGCCATACAATGGATCGATCTGCCGTCGTGCAGGGTTATTAAAGGCACATTTAGGTATAAAAAACCTAAAAGTGACTGTTTTACTCTTTTAAAATCAATACTAAGGAAACAAAAAAAGTTTCCTCAAAGAAGGCAATCAAGTCTTATAGGAGATTTATCCCAGTTCTGTTCTCTGTGCGATCACTGGTTACCGAGATATCAGTGCTCGATGACAAAAGGATCCTTCTGGATATTGAAGCTGAATAAACGGGCTATCTGATCCATATGATGGCATAACAAAAAAATATTCAAGTCCATGGACTAAAAAAAAAATGCAAAAATTTTGGAAAAAAATCCTTGCGATATTTGTTAGAATTGCATGAGAACCGTTGCTCCTAAAGACTGAAAAACCTGAAAACTAGAATCTTGTAGCTCTCTAATGCGATTTTTAAAGTCTAAATACAACCATTTTTCGCCGGAATACCGCTTTTTTCTCTTTGCTTGGCTATGTCGCTTTTTTATTTTCTATCCTTCGGTTTATCTTTAATTTAGATTTATCTTATAACTGTAAGACAATAAAGGCTATTTGTTCATTTATTTTTGAGTTTTTGACTTACCCAAATGGAGCACAATCTGAAGCAGTCGACCAAGGTTGATAACCTCCATAATGTTGGGGTGGCTGGTAACCCCCATAAGGTAAACTGGGAGGGATGGGAGGACCCTGATGCGGAATGAGAGGCCCAGTTGCGTTCTCGCTTGTCTGGATGGCACAACCACAACTTTTTTCCGGTGTTGCCGTCGACGCCTATACAAACAGAATCGAATAAACATTACGGAGAATAAGCAAAAATATACTAAGTGACATGCGAGTAGGTATAAAATTCAACACCCAAAATTACTAAATTGAATTATGATAAAAACTTGTAAGCATATTTGTAAAAGCTTTTCTTGTCATATCAGGATCCGAACAATATGAACATGTTTACTTAATGTTCAATGATTTTTCTGTGTAATGGTTCCATTTGTTTCATTGTTGTTTCATTGCATTATCATGCCTAGAGTTCGCAGACGCTGTAATTTCACTCAACTTTCCCGAGTTTAAGAGGAGCCGGATAATCGGGTTACGTGAAGCCGGATTTTCTTTTAGAGAAATCGCTAATCGGGTGAATCGAAACGAAGCTACTGTTATGAGACGTTATCGAGAGTGGTTCCAAAAAGGCCGAAATCGACGAGTTAGAGATACTGGACAGGTTGGAGGAAGACATTTTGAAGCATTGTTGTGATGATATCATGTACAAAAGGCAACAATTAAATGCATTAAATCCTATTTAGGCAATTCATCGTCTTCCTAAATTTTAACGCGTTATAGGGCCCTAGTGCTGTAGTAACACTTGTCCGGTTATGGGTCCCTATACCCAAATGTTTTCTACTGTTACACTGAATAAGCCCTACAAGTTTGATCCCATAGTTCTGAAACACCCTGTATACTGAAACGTAGCTACACTTACCTGTGAAGTATCCGTAGCATTGGTTATTGAAACAGATTCCACCAATCGCACAACATCGTTATCACTGCTCAACCACCGCTGTTCAATAGTGACCTCTTTGTTTTCATCCATCCATTTTTGTTCAACCGTAACTTCCTCAACGCAACTTTCATAAGAGGTAGACTCACTACTATTATTAGATGATGGTCGAGAACCTTTGTAAATGAATAAACTTAATAAATTGAACAAGCTATAATAGGGAATATGCGCGCATTTTTTGTGTTTCCTGTCGATTATTAACATTAATACTGGGTGCGCCATCTATTACTTTTTTTACCTATAAGTTTATGTGTTACCATGTGAGTCAAAAGTCATGTGGTATGCATAAATGAACTGTCAAAGGTATGCCATTTATCATGGATTCGTTGACAACACAACAACGCATTTTGGTTATCCAAACTTATTACGAAAACGGTCGAAATATAAGAAATACTTTTCGCAAACTTCGCACTACCTTTGGCCGACATGGACGCCCTACAGAGCCTGGAATTCGTTGGATTGTTAGTCGTTTTGAGGAAACTGATTCAGCTGAACTTAGCCGCAGTGAGTAAAAGTCCAACCACCTAGACTAGGCACCGTTCGCAACAATTGGGAATTAGTGAAACCACTTTACGCCTGATTTTACACATTGATTTACACCTCCATCCATACAAAAACCAACTAACACAAGAATTGTAGCCAGCAGACGATCAACAGCGGCGTGTTTTTGTTAATTGGATGCTGGAAAGAGAAGACGGATTTTCGGCCAAAGTACTCTTTTCTGATGAGGCTCATTTTCACCTCAATGGGTGCGTAAATAAGCAAAATTGCAGATTCTGGGGGGCTGAAAATCCACACCAATATCATGAACAACCTCTCCATCCTGAAAAAGTGACTGTTTGGTGCGGATTATGGGCTGGTGGCATCGTTGGTCCATTCTTGTTTGAAGATGCCGAAGAAAAGGCCATTACCGTCAACGGGGAACGTTATCGGGGAATGTTAACAGACTTTTTGTGGCCACAATTGGATCGTATTGGTGCCGACTATCTTTGGTTTCATCAAGATGGCGCAACGGCTCACACATCTCGCCAAACAATCGCCTTATTGCACATGAAATTTCAAGACCGCATAATTTCACGAAATTCAGATGCCAGTTGGCCCCCGAGATCGTGCGATTTAACATCTCTTGACTATTTTCATTGGAGATTTTTGAAAAGAAAAGTGTATGCGAATGGTCCCCGGACAATTCAATACCTAAAGCGCAAGCGGACTGAAATTGCTGCCATAGACCCGATTATTCTGGGAAAAGTCATTAAAAATTTTGATGTTCGGATGTTGGCCTGTAAACGAAGCCGCGGTGGTCACATGACTGATGTTATTTTTCATGCATAAATGGCATAAGCCAACCTTCATTTATCAATAAAAAAATCGATTTCACCTCGTAAAAAGCGTGTTGATTTTTCAAATAGAAAAAAGTAATAGATAACGCACCCTGTACAATACCGTAATATACGTATTTCATCCATGGAAATGTCTATATTTACTTGTAATCAAATATTTAAAACTGCGCTGCCAACGACGATTTAAGCGACGTCATAGCTCATAACTTGTCATTCTACTGTATTTTGATTAGGTTACTGCCGAGTTTTTGACATACCATGTGATTACAAAGTATTTATAGGTAATATTTAATACTACAAATTATGTTTAAAAACTGGAAACTCAAACTGAAAGGGTGTCTATCACTGACAGTCACAAGTAGCAAGTAGGGACGTCACGAATAACGTTGCATTTCGACATTTTAAATTTACCACGTAAATCACTATATTTTTTCATATTCATATTCATTCAGTTTTTTTTTTGTTTTTTGAAAAAAATAAACAAAGATATACAGTAATGGACAAAAGTATATAGACGTCAAGTCGACATTGCCAAAAATTTGAAGCTGAAGCGTAAAGCTGTTTGGGCAATATTGAACAAATATAAACAAAAAGGTATCATGGAAGCCTCTGTGGTCGGCCTTGAAAACTAAATGCTAGATCAGTTAGATTAATAAAAGCAATTTTGTCCAAAGATCCGTTTAAAACCGCAAGACAAATAAAAGCCGAAATCGAGACAAAAGGAATTGTCAGTGTTTGATTGGAGCATCTGTGACTGAACGAGGGTATGCTTCAGTGACGAATCCAAGTTCAATATGTTTGGATCAGATGGTGTTCATTACGTTAGACGTCCTAGTGGTTGAACCTCAAGTACACTTTACCCACTGTCAAACATGGAGGCGGGTCTGTTATGGTTTGGGGGTGCTTTTCGGGGTTTGGGATGAGACCTTTACATAGAATGGATGGCATTATGGATAAGTTTGTATACACAGACTTACTAAAGCATGTCATGTTACCCTATATGGAAGACAATATGCACTTAAGATCAATCTTCCAGCAAGATAATGACCCGAAGCACAATTCAAATCTCGCAAAGAAATTCTTTCTGGATAAAAAATACCAGTTCTCAAATGGCCTTGACAGTCTCCCAATATAAACCCCATTCAAAATCTATGGGAATACTTAGATAAGCAAATACGAGATACAAATTATTCAAACAAGGATGAACTTTTTGCCGCTTTAGAGCAAAAGTGGAGACAGATTGATGAATCTTATATCAAGAGACTTCTACAATATATGCCGAGATGATGCCAGCCGGTGATTGATAATAATAGTTATGCTACAAAATATTAACACAAACATGGTTGGTTTTCTATAATTCAATGAACTTTGCTTCTTTTCTCTATAATTGTTTTTCTTTATCTACATATTTTTGTCCTTCATAGTTATTTTTTTCAATAAATTTTTTATTGAAGGGAGTCTAATGAATTTATTTATGTATATGCTATAACGAATTATATATAGAGGTTGGTGTATTAATAAAACAAGTTAAAAAAGAAATACAGCACAATATTCATTTGTCTATATACTTTTGTCCATTACTGTAATGAACGTTATCGGGTTATCTTTTAGTCCATGAAGTACCTTCGCATCTCTCGGAAAAATATGGTTTTTCGGTATTTTGTCATGGACCATTCTGGAATTTCAATTTTGATTAATACTAATAACAATAATAATTTATTAGATAATTTCTCGTGATTTCACATCTCTAGACATTTTTCTTTTGGGCTAAGTCGTCCCTACAGTTGTAGGGCGCGTTAATGGCCTCCTTGATTGTCATACTGCTTTCTCTCCTTCAAAAATTTCTAGATTACACTTGTCCCGTGTCAGCGTCAGCGCTCTCCTATTGTGAAGATATGTTTTCTTTTTAAATTGTAGGAAATTTCAGGCTGATAAAACATGATATAACTCAAAAGCAAGCACAATTTGATGCAAATAGATGTTTGTGACATAACCTCAAAATAGAGCTGACACGGAGAAGTAGAAAACTATGACAATCAAGGAGGCCATAAAGGTGCCCTACAATTGTAGGGACGACTGACGATACGGGCCTAAATGCACGGAGGTGTCATCAAAAATTGGAATTCCAAGATGAAAGAAAAAGAATTAACTTTGGTAGCCCGACATAGTTCATAGTTTTCAATTTTTATACTCCAAATGAATCACCAATTATTTAAAGTTATACAGAGAAATCCATATACCACTGACGTCGTAATGTGTACGCGACTAAAGCGCGAGTTAGCGTACAATACGTCTATTAGAAAGAGATACAAGTGCTACGTCGCCTAGCAACCCGAGTAAGGAGGCGACGGACGCAGCTGAGGCTTGCCGCGTTGCCAACGTCGCACGTCTAAAGCCGGTCCCAGTCAGTCCTTTCTTCGGCGAATAACGAAGCTTCGTACTTCGGCGAAGCACATACTTCAAGTTCGCGTTGACTTCCAACCACTTCGTATTTCGGGATATAACAAATATTCTGCAAAGCCTCGATTGTAGTTTTAAAATGGACATAGGCGCGGACGAGCAGGTCGCTGTTGCTGCAGCTTCCATAATCATGTGCTGTTATTTTTTAAATGAAACAAGTTTAAACGTCGAAAAAGAAGGTGGTGGATGCTATCTTTAAATAAAAGTCGTCAAGTTAAAATGTTTCACTCATTTCCGGCGGTCTGTCTGTCTGTCTGTCCGGTAATCCTTAGCCCCTCTATAACTCGGAAAGTACTACTCGAAAGTTGATAAAATTTTGACCGCAGTTTAGTACTATAGCAGGGATGCATTGTAGTTTTATGGTTTTAAACAATCGGTGCAGTTGCGGCTGTTATCGTCAAAAAACTAAAAAAAAAATGAAAAGCGCTCAAACTCTGTTTTTGGATGTTTTCGGGGCTCCTGATCACTTTCCAACAATTTTTTGTAGGTGTAGATAAATAATCGGAGGTGGGAGCAGGTTGGAGAAGGGGGTATCTCTTATATTCTGTCCGTGACACCGCTCATCAAAGCGCGGGAAGTATAGAATCAATCTACTTGACGCCATTTTTTAAAGTAGGTTTTACTTTCAACTTTTTAAGGTACGACGAGGATAAACAGTGTATCAAAAATTTTCCAAAAATTAATTCACTAGATCTTTGTTCCACTCCATTACTACTCGCTCAAACACAAATTGATACTGCACTGATCAGACTAAATGTAACGAAGGAGCAGCTTTTACCGCCAATCAGCGAGAAAAAGTTCGTACTACCACGAACTGCGAAGGCGAAGCGAAGCAACTCTCCCACACGGTCCACGAAGTTAGGCGAATACGGAATGTTCGGCGTAGCTCGTAGTGTCTGGGACCGCCTTAACGTTCGTGATATAGGGATTTCTCTGTAGAATTTAAAATAACAAACAAGAGAAACTTACCTACTATGTACGACAAGAACGGGTTATTCGGATTCAGCACCGACGGCCCACTGTCTTCTTCAGATTCTTCATGCATACCAGATAAAAACGGATTTGTGCTCTTACTACCAGTAATACTATGCACTTCATCAACATTTCGTATGTCCTCTTCTACGCCAGGTAAACTAACTACCTCCGAATCCGTGAATTTCGTTTTTTCGGAAACTTCTTGGTCCTCGGGACGACTGCCTGTTAATTCTGCACTATTCACTGTCGATTCAGAACTCTCTTCCTCAATCTCCTCAGATTCACAAACCAACGGTCCAGCGCCATCCTCTTCTGCCTCACATTTTATAATATCTAACTCCCTCATGATATCCTCAGCAAGTGCCAGATCTTGCTGTACTTTTTCTGCAGTTTCTCTCTTCAAGTCCTCCAGCTCCTTGTACATTTTCGAAATATCTTCCGAACCCTCATCTTCTGTAACCTCACTATTCATATCACTGTTTTTGATAAAGTCTGCTATTTCACCCTGAAGTTCTCCGAAGAAAGCCAAGTCCAAGTCTTTCGTTTCGCCACAACACATATCGATATAAGTGCTCTTTACGCCTCGTTTCAACGTCTTTTCGTAAAATTCTATCGTTTCCATTATATTTTGTTTTTCATCCGTACGGTCGATGGAATAATATTGCGGGTAACAAAAATGTGTGGGCACGCCACAGTTAAACAAAATGTCCATTTCTTGCGTAGATGGGGCGTATCCCAGTTCTAGTTCCAAAAATGTGGGAAATAGATGTATGTATTTCACTAATGGCTTAAACGCGCTATCTACATTTGATTTCTGGATGCCCTGAAACAAGTTAAAAGAGAACGTTGGTAAATTTACACTCAGGCTCGAAAACATCTGAAATATACTTTCAGGAATCATTGCACTAATGTATTTGGCCAATATAGTTAGGACTACATTCGTTTGGATGAAAACTGACATTTAATCTGGCTCTGATCCTTTGACCTTTCTCCTGAAAATACTAACATAGCAAAGCACATGTTTGTAGTTGCTACATACAAACAAGTATAACAAATAGATTACGCACTAGCAAATAAAAAGATCAAACTTAATAAACACAATAACTTCTGCTCTATTTCTCTTAATTGGCTAATAAATGAAGTTTCAGCTACCAAGTCAGTCTGGCAGTAAAAAATAAAGAATGAAAGAAAAGATCGAGGTTGAAAAATAAATACCAATAGCAGCAGAAAATAAAATACTCAGTTCATCATGTGATTCCATATATTGGCATAACCAAAGCAGACCAAACTTAATAATATAGTAAAAGTTGAAAAACGCAATATTTGGAACCCAATAATAGACTCTAATTTCTTAATTTTGCAATGTACGTGTGAATGTGAGAAATATTTAATTGTTTCACAGACATAAAATTATCTGCAAAAAAGATGAATTAAAGTTCACAACCTACAGTACTAAATAGCAATAAAATCAACAATAGGCAGTGGCTGCCTCTCTCACGCTCTTTGTTTGGCCAATAAATAAGGCTATTCTCTTAAACATCAATAATCAACTACTATAAGTTTTATTCCTGCTGGTTGCTGAAACGTCAATAAAGTGATTCATTCCACATCTGTGATTTCATCTCACGATACACATACACTGAAGATAGGATATTGCGCATGTGGGCGGAGCTTCGTGACGTCACTTGGAGAGTTATCGTCTCGTGGTTACCAGCGGCAGGATTGTCGTAACGTGCAGTTCACGTGTACCGTGGTTAATATTATATAGTGCGATTTGATGGTGTTTTTTGGAGGTTTTGTGACTTGTTAAATTAGTTATACATACTCTATATGCCCTTTGATGCTAGTAAATTGATAAAAATGCGGTGTGCTGTTGTGGGATGTAATTCCGACAACCAATCTACACGGAATCCTTGCAAAGACATGAAGTTCCACAGTTTTCTTCAAGACCCAAACCTTAGCAAAAAATGGCTACATAATACAAAAAGAAAAATCAAAGTCAATGTAAAAAGCGTTAGGGTGGCACCTAGACCATGTATATCTGTTGATGGGGAAAGCGGAAAAATGCTTACGAAAAAAGGCAAAGGGCTCAACTTATCCCCTAGAGTTTAAGTATAGAATAAGGTCATATATTTTGGGGCGAAACGAAGACGCATACTTAGAGTATTGCAGCGTACAGGGAGAGGATACTCCGTACATTCCACGAACCGCATCATTAACGAATAAACTGAATGCACCTGAAGTATCAGTTGACTATAACGAGGAAGTTTTAAGGGAAGAAATGGATGAGCTCGAGTATGATGGGCTGAAAAATTTGGCCGGCTTTGTTTGCCATAAATTGCAGGATGACAGGTTGAAAAGTTCCTCAAATGAAACTTACTCGTGGATAGACCATCTTAGTGAGAATGGATTATCAAAACCTTCCACAGCTTCCATGAATCAAATTGAGAAGCTTAACAAGGTGTTTACTACATTCAATGGGGACGGAATAGTGACAGACAAGCAAGATTTTATAGGCGAACTTCTGTTGAAAAGCACCAACATTGACTGCCATGAAAAAGCTAAGAAACTATTTTTCAGGTCAAGGATGTTGTTCCGGATTAAACAACTGAGTAAAAGTAAAAGACCAGAAAAATCGTGGAAGGAAATGGATGGAAAATTGTGGCTTAGACTAAGAAATTGCCACTTATTGTTATACTGCCAGCTTACTGCAAAAAGATGATAACTCCATTTTTCTACTTTTTGAGTTGCGTACATTTTCACACTTGCATGTAGTTAGTACTTAGGATGTTCTGTAAAGTAAGGATGAATAAATGTAGTGCAGTATTAGCGTCATGAGCATGTTAATCCTGCTCCACAGAACATACTAAAATATAGGTAATGTAGAAAAATCTTGTTTTTAGAGTAAAGTGAGGATACACGCTCTATTGTGGAGCTAGAAAGCCGTTTAAGCTATAGCCTGTGAGAAGAAATTACAAGGTTGAAAATCCGCCATTTTGTTTCTATCCAACAACAGCTCATATGTGAAAATCTATCAAGCCGTTTGAGCTGTAGGTGAAAATATGCACGTTTTCCACATTAACCCAAATGATAATCACTCTCCGCGTGACGTCAAGCGCGCCCGCGGACGAAAATCGAACAGCAGAGCACCCGGCACTGATTTCATCTAATGACCAAATCGTTCCATTTACTGATTCGATTGCTGTTTCTTTCATAAAGCCCTTTAATTTTGTTACCTATATCATAGGGGTGACTATGGTAATTATAATCACCATATTGGATTTAGCATGACAGCACATTGCTAACTGTGTTTCTCTGATCAAGCCGCTTCACGTGTACCCATATGATAGGTGTTACTATGGAAGTGATGAATCGCCATCTTGGATTCAAAATAGCGGCAGCTAATTTATTTTTATTTTCACGCGAACCAGAAGTGTGTACAAAATTTCAGCTCAATTGGTTAAGGTTAAATGATTCAGAATTCAGTTCCAAGATTTATCCCACACATACATTCTGACATACTAACATACAAACAGGTCAAGTTATATAAAAGCAAGTTGAGTTTTCAAGAAAAGCAAAGATTTTTTGAAAAGGAAAAGTGATAACAACGAAAGTAATCACTCGTCTCATTCTTCCATAAAAGATGAATATTCACAAACAATTTCAGAGTTGTACCTATATTTGTTAACAAATTCTGATTGAAGAAAAAATAAGATAAATAAAAATAAAATGCACAAAAAATTGAATTTTTTGACAAAAAAAAATGAAAACATTGTTTTTTAGTCATATCTATACACACCATGAAATTATCAGATGAAAAGGATTTAGAATACTGCTGCAAACAGCAAGTTCAAAAAAAAATCTAAAAAAAGGGACGTGCCAGCTGTTCATGTGAAACGGCATTTTCTTGTACCACTTGAAACTTATTCATACAAATAATGATAACATATTTTATATTCCGGTCGACTCTTATGCAAAAAAAAATGTTTAAAATAGTACTTCGACACCTCAAGGACACCATGTTGTTTTTCTTGTGAAGTATGTTGCAACAACAGTTCTATGTGGTTTTTTGCTTTCTTTGGCATTTGGCAACAAGATGTAGGATTCCGAGTAAGCAAAACTATGGTGACCTGCACCACGAACTTCAAGTTCATTTCAAGGTTAAACATATAATTTCAAATGGAACCCCAGATTTGGAAAGAGGACGAAAGCCAACATCTGAATATGACCTTGACGATGAACACAACAATCACCTTCGAGGCCGTTTCACGCTCTGGCAAAAATGTTCGACAGCACACTTATGACCGTGACCATCATCTTGACCATGACCAAAGTTTGAGTCAAAATGTTCAAAGGAACCCATCATTTTAATCCTGGCATTGGAAAAGCAGCAGTTACGTCCGAATGTGTCCTTGACCTCCAAGTCAAGGTCATGTCGATCTTAAATGTTATTTGTAACACAACCCCTTGATTTTTATGCTAAAATTCCAGAGGCCAAAAAATTTTATATTTAAGGTGTAAATGTTTGGCCATAACCGTGAAGGTGATCGTCGAACGTTTTTGCTAGAGAAAATTTTTTTCAACGTCTTGATTTGACCTTGAAATTGCCTCGAAGGTTTACACCATGGCTAAGCTAAGTGTTTGTATAGCACACAGCACAATATGTAAATGGGTACAAACCAGCTTAAACATATGAAACAATACCATATGTTAGTGAACATACACACACTAATCTCCTTGCCACTCTGTCTCACTCAGCCTAGACTTTCGCTTCTCAGCCAACAGCCTAAGAAACACTTTTCTTTTGCTCTCCTTAACTGGACGCGTGGTTTCGATTATTACCTGATCGGGGTATGTGGCTAGTCCAAGTTCTACCAATCTTGTGTTGATGCAAAATGGCTTGGATGGATTGGTGACGTCGATCAGGTACACTTCCAGAATTTGTTCCTGAAACGATAAACTTTGTAGTCTGAAATCGGTGAAGAAGACTGATGAAGCTATTATTTCTAGCAGCGTTTGAGTGATGGGGGGCACTTAGCCAATCAACGAATTTAGACTAGATAGATGGAGTCAGTCATGGATTTGTGTGTCTCCTAATTCTCATAGTATGTAGTAAGAATCACAGTGCACTTGACATAAGTAAATTTTCGCGGTTCTGTCATTAATTTCTTATATTTTGTGTTATTTTTTTGAAAAGTGCGAGTGTTTGCAGATAATTGTGGTGTAAGACGATTTCAGGACATGGAACTTCTTACATAGTTTGCAAAGAGAAGCACAAGACCAATGAAGGCAAATTTCCACCACTAGGTTATTTTTATGTTGATACAATGCTGTCACTTTGGCAGGCATTGGTAGACAAATGAATCACTATGCACTAAAACTACACAATTTTGTCGACAAACAACGCATTGTAAATTATAGACTTGGCTCCTAATATTTTCGTATTCGTTGGTCATGATGTATTTATTATACAGGGTGATTCACAAAAACTTTTTTTCATATCTTCAAAACCATCAACTGTAATGAACTAAAATTTGGTATGCGGATTTACCTAAGTATTGTCCACATTCAAAAGTCTTTATTTACAATTAACGGGCACAGTGGCGGAGATACAGGTAATTAGTGACATTATTTTTCCAAATATACTAAGTGACATATAAATCCGAACACCCAGTTTAAATGTTTTTATTTTAATAAAATTTTGTACAAGTACTTAATGAAGCATAATAAGTAAATGATAAAAATTTCAATATGATTGCACTGCTTTAAAGCCCTTTGACCTTTAATAATGTGTGGATGCACCCTGATGTGCTACGCATTCTCCAACGCGCCTAGGCATGCTTCCGATCAGGTGGTCAATGTCCTCCTGTGGTATCTCATTCCAGGCAACCACCAACTCCTCTCGAAGTGCTTCTAGAGTCTGAGGAGGACGTTGCAAATTGAGCAATCTCCTACCCATCATATCCCACACATGCTCAATTGGGGATAAGTCGGGAGATCTTGGTGGCCATGGTAACAATGTGACATCATTATGTTGAAAGAAGTCTATTGTGACTCTTGCAACATGTGGTCGGGCATTATCTTGTTGGAAAGTTGGATCTGCCAGGGTGTCAAGATAGGGTAAAAGATGGGGTTCTAGAACTTCGTGGATATAACGCTGCGCGTTCATGTTGCCTCTGATGAAGATTAAAGGTGACCTGGAACCGTAAGCTATAGCACCCCAAACCATAACTCCAACAGTGTGATGAACATGTCTTTCAACAAAAAACTGTGGATTCCTCCTTTCACCACGTCGCCTTCTAACCCTGGCACGACCATCGTGCATGCCTAAACAAAATCGAGACTCGTCACTAAAGACAATACTGTTCCATTCCTGATCCCAGAGTGACCGTTGTCTGCACCACTCAAGGTGATTACGTCGGTGTTCTCGAGTTAAAGGGCCGGTATGAAAACAAGCCAAAACTTCTCATTCGTCGGTAAACACTTCGCATGCCAATAGGTCTTCCGTGTTCTGCAAACCATTCATTTGCAATGGACCTGGTAGTGGAGAAACGGTCCCTTAAGGCCAATAATCTTAGGCGGCGATCTTCACGGTCTGTTATTCTACGGCGGCGTCCAGTGCCACTTGCTCTTTGCGTACGGCCTTCTCGAAGCCATGCCTGACAACACCTAACCACAGTGTCTACACTTCTTTGCACTCTAACTGCAATTGCCCGAAAACAAAGTCCAGCTTCCCGAAGTCCCACTATACGGCCCCTATCAAACTCACGAAGTTGACGAAATCGTACAGGATTCCGTACTCTAGACATCGTAACCGATCGTAAAGGATGTCAAGAACCAAAGTTAATGAATTAAAAAAAGCAGTATAAAAACCGGAATGTCCAACTGATAAGGCTGAAAATTTTTTCACATGTTATTTACAGTAAGATAAATACATTCACCAACTTTTATTAAAATAAAACCATTAAAACTGGGTGTTCGGATTTATATGTCACTTAGTATATGTAAAAATAGTACGCCACTGTTTTTTTTTTCGAAACGCGTAATTTTTCGAAGTTTCAATTGACTACAAATAATTACTCTTGTGTTTTTTCCTAGAGTGCATTGTTTTCGTAAAAATGAAAATAAAACAAATTAGATCATTCGTGAAGGGCCGAGATACCATAAGTTTCAAAATAAAATAGGAGGATTGTCCCGCTAGTCTCGCAACTTCGCAAAATCAAAATAAGTGAGGTAGCAAAACAAGAGCACTAAAATCTTGAATAAAACGTCTATCCACTCACCTTCCTGTTTATCCTAGCCACTTTAGCATCGATGGTTCGATCCCTGGTCATGTTTCTGAACGTTACAGTGGCGTCATGACTCCAAGGCACGCATTCTTGTGTCGGGCAAATGTCGGCCAAGCGACACCGGATCGCTTGCGCTGGCAGCTCAGCGAACCTCTCGTGTAAGAAACAGATGTCCTTGATTGGTACTTTGGTCATCGTACCGTAATCAATGAAGAACACCTGATGATAAAAATGGGGTCAAGTAGACTCGATACTTTCCACGCAAACCCGTCATCAATAAGGTTATGTTCGGATTAGAAAAAAAATCGACCAAAAAAACTGCATTTGAGATATAGAGTCAACCTACTTGAAACAGATTTCTAATACACTCAATATAATTGCAATGTTTTTTTTTTATATAACAGCATTGATCAACTTATTCTACTTGCAGATAGCCACTCATATACTGTATTCTGGCGAACAAAAAAGGCACCTGAATAATCCTAGCGCCATCTATCAAACAGAAGCAAAACACAGAAATGAATTTAGAAACCTACTTTGAAAAGAGTTACTGTTTGGTTCTGCTAATGACTAAGATGGCGCTAGAATGTTCAATCCCTTGTTGGCACCTCCCCAATGCTTATTTTAATTTGGTATTTCACCTGGAGATACCCAATAAAATAGGTATTGAATGAATGAATGAATCTTGAATTTTAGAGGCATCCCGGCCACCATAAGGAGCCAGTGCATAGGCCGCTTAAGCGGGCCCTTATGCACCTCTACAATACTTAAATCACAAGCCTCGCCCTTTTAGCGAAGTTGAGAATCGCCTTGAGTCCAAGCTCCTTTACGTCCTGAGGGTCCAAAGTAATGGACCCCAGTATAGTCTGCCTATAGTAGCTCAGAGCTTCACAGCGACACAAAACGTGCGCCGAGGTCTCTTCCTCTACTCCGCAGCGTTCGCATAAGGGATCCTCAGCCACCCCCATCACGTGCAGGTGCCGCCTTAACGTGTTATGGCCAGACAACAGTCCCACCAGCAACCTTAGGTTGGCTCTACCCAGAGATAGGCAGAAGCGTCCATCCTTAGCACTGGGCCCTTCAATGAGCTCTCGTGCCTGGCGGAGATGTCTAGAGATACTTCTCCATTTCTGAGAGTGTTGTCTTGCAACCCACGTCTCCATTTTCCTCCTAGCTTTATGCGCGGTTACTCCTAGAGCTGGCTCAGGACCAACGAGCTTGCTGGCTGATCCTGTTTTCGCCAGAGTGTCCGCCGTCTCATTGCCCCTTATCCCAGCGTGCCCCGGTACCCATATTAACGATACCGGATGCCTCGCTGCGAGGCAATCCAGAGCCTCCCTGCATTGCAATACAAGACTCGAAGTAATCTTACATGCACTTAGTGCTTTCATTGCAGCCTGGCTGTCGGATAAGATTGTTATTCTTCTCCTAGGCCCACCCTCCTCCAGAATGTGAGATACACAAGCCAGAATCGCAAAGATTTCCGCCTGGAAAATGGTGGTGTACTCACCGAGAGGCAGAGATAGCCTAGTTCTAGGTCCAGAGACCCCAGCACCTGAGCCCTCTTCGGTGACCGAGCCGTCCGTGTACCAGACCTGCCCGCTCACTTCGGAGAGTCCTCGGCTGCCGGCGTCCCACTCCTCCCTCGTTGGGTACTCCACAATGAACTTGCGGTTGAAGCGATATTTAGGGGTAATACGATCACCCCTGCTTAGAAGGACGGGGTCCTCCCTATCTAATTCGACTAATATGGCAGTATGCCCCTTGACCGGATTCAAGAAAGCCCAGCTGCCCTGACTCCACAGTCGATGAGCGACTACTCTCGCTTCACCGCGGATCACCAGATCCAACGGTGGGAGATCCAACAGAGCTTCCATTGCACTCAATGGCGTTGTTCGCACTGCGCTTGTAATGCTAATACAGGCCAAACGCTGAATTTTATTGAGTTTGGCCTTAGTTGACTCAGTTCTAATGCAAGGCCACCAGACCAGGGAGCCGTACAAGAGAGATGGACGTACTATCGTCGTGTAGAGCCAGTATACCACTTTGGGTTTAAGCCCCCACCTTACACCGACAACACGTCTACAAGCCCACATCGAATTGCGAGCCTTGCTAACCTTGTGTTCCACATGCTCTCTCCAGTTCAGTTTGCAGTCCAGGATAATTCCCAGATATTTCACTGACTGGGACAAAACTAATCTAGTCCCAAAGAAGGTAGGCATGACCAGTCCGTCAAGCCTTCTTCTCCTAGTGAATAGGATCAGCTCGGTCTTTTCAGCATTAACAGAAAGATCGACTTCCCTACACCACGATTCCACGGAGCGCAGAGCGCCCTGCATAATTTCCGAGACTGTTCTACAGAAACGCCCCCTAACCACTATGCTTACGTCATCAGCATAGGCTTGCACGTAGACACCCATACTGTTGAGCCTAACGAGCAGTTCGTTCACCACGATACACCACAGTAGGGGTGACAGAACTCCACCCTGAGGGCAGCCTCTAGCTACGTTCACGCTGCAGCTTACGTTATTCAGCATAGCTGTTGTTACCCGACCCTCCAGAGTAGAGAGGACCCAATCTATTAGGATTGATCCAACCCCGTGTCTAACCAAGGCCTGTCTGATAGAGTCGGTTGTGGTGCAATTAAATGCACCTTCAATATCTAAGAAGGCCACGAGTGCCACTTCTCGCTGATCTAGAGTCTTCTCCAGCCTCCCAACCAGATTGTGTAAGGCCAGATCAGTCGATTTTCCAGCTTGGTATGCAAACTGATTTGCATGAATGACACACCTTTCCAGTGGGCCATCCCTTAGGTATCTATCAACTATCCTTTCCAGGGTCTTAAGCACAAAAGATGAAAGAGTAATCGGTCGAAAATCCTTCGGGCCAGTATATCTATCTCTGCCCGGTTTAGGAATGAATACCACTTTAGCCTGCCGCCAACTTCTAGGTGTGAAGCCCGTGGCCACACATGCTCGAAACACATTCAACAGGTAAGGAACAACCGAAATCCGTCCCTGCTGTAACATGGCCGGAAATACGCCGTCCAGACCTGGACTTTTGTATGGGGCAAACGAATCTACTGCCCATACCGTCCTTTCGAAGGTGACAATCTCCCTTGCCGTGCGCCAGTCCTCCCTTGAGGGCCTGCGCAACTGCATGCACTCTGTGATTGATCGCGCTACTGTGGAACCGGGAAAGTGCGTATCCATCAGAAGCCTCAGAGTATCTTCCTCGGAAGTAGTGTTCCCTCCCGAGGGATCATGCAGAGATCCCAATCTTGCTTTAGTGTCTTTGCATAGGACTCTGTGTATTCTTGCAGTAGCAGGAATGTCATTTATGGACTGACAGAAGTGCCTCCAGGATTCTCTGGAGGCCCTTCTAATCTCCTTTTTGTACTCCTGCAATGCCTTTTTGTATTCTTCCCATAGAGGAGAACCTCTCCTGTGCTTAACTCTGCTAAGAAGTTTGTGCACCGCTCGTTTTCTATCCTCTAAATCTTTGGTCCAGAAGGTTGCCTTGCCCTTACCTTGTACTTTGCGTAACGGGCAGTTTTCCTCATATGCGGCCGTCAAGTCCCTGCTCAGAGACTCGACAGCTGCTTCTATGTCAGAGCCCCTGCCAAGCCTGTATGGGACCGCTCCAAGCTTACTGTCAATGTCTGCCCTAAAGGACTCCCATCTAGTATGCCTGGGATTCCGAGCATATTTATCCGGAATCTCTCCATCAGTCTTGAACAGTATAAACCTGTGATCCGATAGAGAGGGTGTTAGAGACACTTTCCAGTCCCTGATGTCCTGAGCTAAGTTAAGCGTGCTCAGTGTTACGTCGATAACCTCTTCTCTTACACTATTGCTGAAAGTGGGCATGTTACCGACATTCAGAACCTCAAGGTTCGATGCCCCAAGAAACTCCATCAGGTCTTCGCCTCGTCTGTTGGTGTTCGAGCTGCCCCACGCAACGTGATGGGCATTACTGTCGCATCCAATCACAAGGTCGAGTCCAGAATCCCTACAGAATGCGACAAGGTCCCCCATTTCCTTAGACGGAGGAGGGTCTCTTGAATCGTAAGGAAGGTAAGCCGAACAGACAACCAAGTCCCTGTCACTGCCTTCCTTCTTATATCTAATTCTGACTGCAACTAAGTCTCTAAATGTAAATTCTTTAAGTTGCCATGAGTTGACGGAAGTCATTACGCAAGCTCTGGGCTTAGTGTCCGGAGTATCGCTAAAAAGCGTATAGCCTGGTATACTAAGCCCGTTTACTGAACCGTTTCTCAGCCAGGGTTCCTGGATGAGAGCCACGTCATGTCGGCCTCGAGTGATCTCCTGAGTAAGGGCCCTCGAAGCCGCTATGCAGTGTTGTAAGTTAATTTGGATGAAATTAAAACTTACCATGGATGTTGAGAGGCCCTTCCTACACCTTCCCGAATGACGGTATGTAACCCCTATTCGGGCGTACCGCCGTCGCCGCCGCAGTCATCGCTGCCACAGCCGCCTTCATCTCCGCTTCCACGGAGGAGTTCTCGGACTCGGTTCAGGATTCCATCCTCGTCCGAGTCGCTATCGTTTCCCTCTGGGACCAGATCCATCGCAGGGTCCGCCACGATGTTTTCTGCGGATATCCCGCTTGGACCCGCCGCCTCCACGTCCGTAGCCTCCGGTGGCTCCAGCGAGAGCTGACCCGGCCGACCCATCCCCTGTGAAGGAGCCTGGTCTACCGCCACAGCTCCCGTCGGTCTGGGCTGGTCCGACTCCTGGTTTGGAGCCAGGCCAGTTCCAGCAGGTGTCGCTCCACTGCTCTTCTTCTTGCTCAGGAGTGTAAACACCCCCGAACTTCCACCGCAACACAGCCTGTTGTAGGTATTAGAGAGGTGCCAAAAAGATATTGAAGATCCTAGCACTATCTATAAGACCAGAGTCATAGAACCAAACACTTTACCGTCAATGGATATTTCTAAATTCATACTTGTGTTCTGCTACTGTATCATAGATGGTGCTGTGATCTTTCAGATCCCGTTCTGGGCACTGGTTGGTTATTTTCAAGTATACCCTAGTACCAAAATGGAAGAGAGTAGAGCGACATGCCTTTGAATAGGCAAAAACGATGAGCGCGGATCCAAGCCCTATTCAAAGACGCGCGATAACAGTGGCGTACAATGTGCTGTTACTCTCTTCCGTTTCGGTTCCAGACTGCAGAATTCGTTAATCAATGGTTACAGTATGTAAGAGCCTGGCTTGCAATAGCTGCTGAAACGAAGGTCCCTCTAAAAGTTAACTATGCACATCTATAAAAAATGGGTCAAGTGTATTCAAAAGGCTCAAATGAAATCGAAGCTTGACTAAGTACTACAAACCGCAATTTTCAAATCCCACCAAAAAAATCTGAAAATGAGCTGGTGTTTCTGAAACCTCAAAAAACGAAGTTTCGGCAATTTTTGTTTTTCTATTTTTTGGCTGTAGCTTCACGGTCACTTGATCGGTTTTCAAAGCCTACAACGTTTATTCTTCCTTGGCAAATTAGTAACTTTGAGTCAAAACTTCTTCAAAATTTTTGTTTCGCGAACATTCATTGGATTCCCGCGCACACCTCTTACTTAAAACGCAATGGAAAGACCCTATGCAATAATTGTGACAAGTCATTAGAGGTAATTTCTACCAAAAAGAAATCTCACTGTACTGGTAAATCATTTTGCAGAAATGGAAAAAAGGGTTTATATCAAATTAAACAGTAATATAAAGTAGCTTTGCTAAAATGTTTTTTTTAGGTAATTTCATGAATACTTGCCTTTATACTATCTTTGACCTCGGGTAAAACATCAACAATGACTGCCCTATGATACTCTCCATAAATAATTTTTGCACAGTAGACCCCTTCTCTTATCAAACTTTCATTCATCGAGTATCGTGAGGCATTTGTTGCATAGAAATCCCTAAAATGAAAACATTCTGCATTATATTCATTGTCATGTTCGCCGCATCAAAACAAATACAGGTTAGGCTTATGTTACGAGGGATGTCTTTTAAGTTTTGCATATGGAAGTAAAACAACATGGTAGGTAGTTTTAAATGACTATTGTTTTTCGAAGTATTCTCCACGAAGACTAATACACATCTGTATGCGCTCGAACCAATTTTCGAAGCACTTATTCCACTCGTTTGCTGGCAGATCCAAAACGGCATTTTTGAATGCGTCAACTGCTTCTTCTGGTGACTTTAACCTTTGACCACGCAGTCTGTTTTTAATTTTCGGGAAAGTAAAGAAATCGTTAGGACTTAGATCGGGACTATATGGAGGATGGTCCAATAATTCCACGTTTTCTTCCGTTAAATACTGCCTTGTTTTTTGGGCTGTATGCGAGCTTGCATTGTCTTGGTGGAGGATGATTCTTCTTTCGGGATTGATTTTTCGAAGCTCGGTGATGACTTTTGGCAAGCAAATGGTGGTATACCAATCCGCAGTAACAGTTCTTTGCTCATTAAGAGGAATTGTTGCAATATGATACAAATGTCGCAACCATCTTTTTCGAAACACTTCACCTTGGAACACCCAAACAGCCGACTGTCTTTTATTTTCTGGTTCATAACAGTAAATCCACGATTCATCACCACTAAAAATGCTGTACACATTTTTTGAGTTTGCGGAATTGAAACGGTCAAGCGTTTTTTGACACCAATTAACCCTGGCTGCTTTCTGCTCTTCAGTCAACAGGTGGGGTATCCAACGAGAAACTAATTTTCTTCCTCCTAATTCTTCATGTAAAATTTTTTGAATTGAGGTCTTTGAGATCTTCAAGGACGCCTCAATCTCGCGATATATCACATGTCTATCTTCAATAATGAGTTTGCGCACAGCATCGACGTTTTCCTGGGTGACTGCAGTTCTTGGTGCACCCACCCTGGGATCGTCGCTAAGACTCACCCGTCCACGTTTGAATTCTCCATACCAACGGGAAATTGTCGACTGATGTGGCGCTTCGTTGCCGAAAACAGACAGTAACTCAGCAAGGCATTCTTGTTGCGATAATTGTCTCTGAAAGTTGTAATAAATTATGGCGCGAAAATGTTCTCGGTTGAGTTCCAATTTTCTAATGTCTTGGTGACACTTAAAAATGTAGTAGTAGTGAAAACACTGCACGTATTGCTGTGAAACTTTGATTTTAAGTTTACTAAAGAGTAAGGTTAAGATTCAGTACTGACGTTCGATCCGCGCGGCCTAATATGTTTCTATATGGAAAACTTAAAAGACATCCCTCGTACTTCTGATGTGGCCTAAAAGTTACTTGAATATGATTTAGAGATAACTAAGCTACGATTTATCCGAATGTCAATATTTGCGTAAAATATACTGGAACCAAAAATACATACTGCAATTCATCCATGAGATTGTCCAAATTTCCATCATCTAAATATACCCAAAACTTGGACAAATCAAACACTTCACCAACTCCAATCTTGATTGTATCGCCCTCCTTTGTTTCAGGTGGTACAAACTCTCTAGGTATTTCGTTACCAGGTTTATATACGCTTTCTGGCAGAAAGCTCTCCACATCGTCCCACTGAAAGTATGCAGTTAAATTTTAAACTCCTGTATCTAACTACACCGTAGATGTTACGGAAAAAACTTGTGAATAACATCCGCAAAAAAAGGTAATAAAAAATCGGTATTACAAAGAGATTTTTAATAATAATAATAATAAATGTCTTTATTAATCAGCATACATCAGTGAGGCGAAGTTTAGCCAAATGGCTACTCTTACACTTAACCTCACTGTGTACGAAAGAGTAACACAGTTAAACTTGATACACAAACAAACAATAGTAATAATAAGAAAAAGAAACAAATGCACACTTGAACTATTAATATCCCATCAGCTGTTTCTTATCGAGTCTCCTGAAAGGCACTATTGTTTTACTGCGACATATTTTATCTGTAGAGTTGTATAACTTGACAGCATGAAATGTGAAGCTTTTCTGGAAAAGGGCTGTATAGTGGACTGGCATCGCAAAATTTAGGTTGTGTCTGAGATTTCTCTGATTAATGTTACCTCTTGGTACTAGCTTTTCTAAAATGTACGGTGGTTTTTTTGTGCGAACTACTTTATGGACAAACACCTTCATAGCATAAACAAACTGTGATTCCATCTTTAACCAATTTAAATCTTTAATCTTCGAAGAGACATGACTATATTTACGAAGCCCAAACACAAACCTGCAGCAGCCGTTTTGAATTTTTTGTAACCTATACCGATCCGACGAATCCAAATAAGAATAGAATAAAATCAGAGAATGTTGCAAAGATGACAGGATCAGGCTTTCAACTAATTTTTTCCTAGTCTTAAAGTTTAAAATGAAACGGTTGGAATATAAAAGTTTTAATTTGGCATATGTTTTTTGAGACAGGTAACCGATGTGCCTATCAAACTTCAAGTTAGAGTCCAAGATAACACCCAGGTTTTTAGAATGTTCTACCATGGGGATGCGCTCGTTATTTATAATGAGTACAATTGCGTCCTTTATGTTATTATACATGTGTTTCGGAGAAAAAAGCATACTTGAACTCTTCAGGATTGATCCTGAGACAGTGCTTTTTACAAAAATCCGTAATATTGATCAGGTCAGTATTCATTTTAAACGACACTTCATTTAACTGAGCATATGTGAAGTGAAATGATAATTGTGTGTCATCATCATACATTTGTATAGAACAACATTCCACACACGAATCTAAGTCTATAGTGTAAATTAAATATAGCAGGGGTCCCAGAACTGACCCCTGCGGAACGCCAGACGAAACCACAGTACTAGAAGAGACGCCCCTAACCGTCTTAACTAATTGTTTTCTTTCTACCAAGTAGCTTTGGAAAAATCTTAGCGGTATATCAGATAATCCAATGTACTTCAGCTTTCTCAACATGATTTTGTGATTAACTGTATCAAAGACTTTTGAGAAATCAATCATCACTAATATGGTATTAATAGGTCTGTCTAAGTTACCTACGATGTTGTCAGTTAGATGGAGCAAAGCTGAAGTAGTGCTATGTCCCGCACGAAATCCTGATTGATGAGGAGAAAACAAGTTATTTTGCTCTAAATATTCCACTAGTTGAATGTACACTGCTTTCTCTAATACCTTCGAACAAAAGCACAGCAAACTAATAGGCCGCAAATGATTATGAGTGGTTGGATTTTTGCCTTTGGCTAAAGGGATGATAATAGCTTCCTTCCAAGCATCAGGAAACGTCCCGGGTCTCAAGGCATATATTAACAATATGTGTTAAATACAATAAAATTTCTGGTAAGCAGTATCCTAGCATGTTCAAATTAATTTCATCACTCCCTGTAGCAGGTGACTTGATAGAGGTAACTATGTCCAAAATTTCTTCAGCGGTCATCATTCTAAATGTAAATGGAGTTACATCTTGGCTGTTAAAGCTGTTCTCATAAAACTCTACTGTACTCTCAATCAAACGGGAATTGATATTAAGATTTTGGTAATTTAACATGAAGTGGTTATTGACTTCATTAGGGTCTAACAGATCATAGGGTATTTCAATGTGTTTCTGGGGACAAATATTCATTGCTCTCAGCTGATCCCAAGCTTTTCTAGAATTGAGATTATCAAAGCGAGATAAATATGCCTTTTTCTCACGCCGGATTGAAGCAAGTGAATAATTTCTTAACTGTTTATACGCTGTCCAATTTTCATCTGATGGATTGTGACGAAATTTAATTAAAGCCTCATCTCTCACCTTAAGAATGACCTTAAGTGCGAAAGTTAACCATGGAGCAGCTTTTTTGGTGACACGAGCCGTCCGAATAGGAGCATGAAAGTTAAAAAGCTCAATAAGCACCCCATAAAGGATTAGAATTTTGGAGTTAATATCGGTAATATACAGCATTTCTTCTAAGCCAGCTGCAGCCAAATCCTGCTTGAATTTGATTACATCAATGTTCTTAAAATCCCTATAGGTTATGAATGTTTCCTCCGATGAAACGGTTTTAATATTTAATTCACAGAATACTAGTTTGTGGTCAGATATCAGATCTGCATTTAAGGTACCAGAGTTGAGAACACTTTCAATATTATTTAAAAATATGACATCAATTAAAGTAGAACTAAAACGAGAAATACGAGTAGGCTCATCGATGACCTGCCTGAAACCATAAAAATCAAGACAACTGCTGAGTACATTAGTGGTATCGAACATATCAATATTCATGTCTCCAAGAAGAATAATGTCATCATATTGAGGCATAAAGAAAGAAACAAGATTGTCTATGTGTTACCCAAAAAAATCGATATTAACAGTACTGAATCTCAGATTAGCCTTTGCGTATATGCCAACCCCACCACCTCTGCCAATTCTATCTGTGCGAAAGCCAAGTTTCAGACACAGCTATAATATCAAATTGATCTTTTACCAGCAAAGAAAACTCATTAAAAGAAGCTGTAAGTGATCGAACATTTATATGGCAAATTTTTAAAACATCATTTTTATTACTTCCCATAGTCCACGCGCTGCTTCAAATTGTCAACATAACCTTGGTACACAGGACATCCAGGAAAGTTAGCAGAATGATCTGTGGGCAAGCTCTTTTTATGTGACTTGTTATGATTAACACAGTTAATGCATTGTAGCGCCTCCGACTTGCACTCTTTCAGTTTGTGTTCTCTGCAGCATCTAGGCCATGCAAGCTCTGAATTGCAAGCAGCTTCAGTATGGCCGAATGAACAACATTTGTAACATTTCATCAAGCGCAAATGGTCAGAAATGCAACACTTTTTCCAACCAATGAACAACGAACCTATTTGTAACAGGGATTTTCTTAAATCAGGTGTCACTTCAATGACAACACTAGTTCCGCTCTTAAGTCTAAGTTTAGTAACAAATTCAATCTGAGATTTTTGCGTAACAGTTAAATTATTCAGGGTAGCTATATTCGTTATAATATCATCTGGCGAATCAATACCATCCAAATTAACATTTTTTATTATTAACCTTGGATTTAATTTCTTGGCCTCAGATATTGTATAATTAGATGCCAACTTTGCATCAAGACTAGTTTTCAATGAGTTCAAAGATGCATCGTCTTTACAATGAACCGCCACACCGTTATGCTGGCCAAATTGACAGATGATTTTATGTCATCTAACACTTTACTTGTGTCGGAGGTGTTGCTACCAACAGATTGAACCAAAAGAACAGATGAGTTGTCCCTATTCTTCTGTTTTACTATATCACTAAAAAGAAGACCAGGTTGATGTACATTGACCTGGCTACTACCACATGCTTGAGATTTTGCAGCTTCACGTTCTTCGTACGACTTCAGCAGGGATTTTTGCAACTGTACAGTGTATTCGAGATTAGTTAAAAGTTTTTTAGTTGAATCCAATTCTCGATTGACGCTTTCCAACTCTTTTCTCAATAATGTTATGTCAGTTTTTGTCTCATTACTGACTGACTGCAAGGAGCATTTACAATCGTCGCAAAGCCAAAATATATTTTCGCATTCTGAAAAGATTTTTAACCAGCTGTCTCTCACAGATACGCATGACGTATGGAATTTAAGCTTGCAAAGGCCACACTTTACTATTTTCGTGCACACTATAAAGTTATCACTACATACTATGCATACTTCCACATCAGGTGCCATGACTCTAGCATCGACCCGCTAATCGGTGCGATGTATACAGTCCGACGGTCTGGACGGTAATCAAGCGAATTATCTCAAATTCGATCACACACTTCTATTTTGTTTCTCACCAAACTGCTTCAGAAACAGGGTAGATGAAAATCTGACTATAGCCACCTACCAAAGGTTTCATCAAGCTGATTTTCATCATCATCATCCACGTACCAAGAAGGTAATAGAGATACCCTTAGGGAGCATTCAAGTATTACGTAAGCGCTAGTGGGGGCGGGGTTCTTGACTTTGCTTATTTTTGATGACATAGACATAGATTCTGATTATCTCAGTAATAATTATTTATGTTTTTGGTTTCTCTACAAAATATAGTCATATTAACATTATTATGAACTATTTCGTATACCTGAATTCAAATTGTGAAGGAACAGAATATAAATATTAATGACTACCCTTGGCCCCCGCACTTATACAAGGTTTGTCTTATCAAAATTCTCTGAAAATAAAAACACGCGTTTTTTTAAATACCACAGTAGAAAAAAGTAATGAAATATTTCAGTTTTGGCGTATTTATTCGTTCTGCGATACTCTGATATTGCGTGCGGTAAATATTAACATCAGTGAGAATGGCAAAAGTAAAAGAATTTTCAAAAGATTTAAGAGACAATGTACTTGAATTATTTAGGAGTGGTGTCAGAAATGTTGACATTTCTCAAAGATTAAAAATGAACAAAGGGACGATTTCGAAAATTATTAGTAAATATCAAGAATACGGATCAACAGCAACGCGGCCCAGGTGGTATGGGGCTGTTTTTCTACTTCTGGAACGGGTCCAATTTTTAAAATTGTTGAGAAAATGGATCAAAAACTTTACAAACATAACACATGCTCCCTTTTCCGGCAAGATAACGACCCCAAGCATACCTCAAAATTCGTAAAGGACTGATTAAGACTAAAAAATGTTATTGTTCTTACATGGCCCTCGCAATTCCCGGACCTTAACCCTATAGAACATCTATGGGGGCATGTTGAACTGGCAAGAAAAACTTTTAAAAATAGGAATCATTTGATTATGTAAATAATATTTGGCAGAATATACCAAGAGACATCTGTAAAAAATTGGTGCCTTCTAAGAGCAGCAGATGTCAGGCAGTGTTGAATGCTAAAGTCTATGCTACCAAATAATAGCTAAACAGTATTTTTTAAGTCTTTTTATAGAGTTATTGTATTTAATTTTGTAATAAAAAATATGTTTCCATACTTTTGTCGTTTCATTTTTGGTCATAAAATAATATGAAGGTATTTTAATGCTAGTCTGAAGTACCACAGCAAACAAACATTGCCATTTGTATCCTCACGACTGTAAGCGAACTATATGAGAAAAAATAGGCTTTAATAATAAAGAATACAAAATTAGCGCACTTTTTAGAAATCACTAAGTATGTTTCCAAACTTTGTCTGCTACTGTACGTCAACCTTGCTTGTCGATGCTCGAAAGCATAATGCATCTTCAGGGATTCACCAGATAGGGATATGCTTACTCACTTAGAACCTTGGCTATAAATACTCGTAGTAGAAATGCGAATAACTGAGTAAAGTGCATAATGGCTCCTTTTAGTCGAGAACTGGCTGGTTTGATGCCTGATGACCATTTTGGGTCTCATCTGGATGAACGTGGCAATTAAGGAACATTGAGAAAGATACAATTTCGAGTTTACCGGAAATGCATTAGCAGAGAGTGCAATGGAAATTGATGGTTATCATGTTACTGAAAAGTATGTTGGAAGCGGCAAACCAGATTTTCCAGACATTAAATAGTATTCAGAACATGCACGTGAAAGCTACCACTTGCTTCAAATTGTAAAATGTACCAAAATGTTTATGGAGGGGGATGTAAGAGACTTGCTTACTGAGAGAAGTGGGTTAATAATTGCCAAAAATCTGCTTATGTAACACTTGAATGGCCCCTTACGTACTTTAGGACATACTGCTCGACGTCATAAGCTAAGCGCAGAGATGTCGCGCAGCACCATCAGGGCAACGTGTCAAGTGGTCGGAATACCAGGTAAAAGATCCTGATGAGTTGCGAATAAGGACAAAACAGCATGAGCTGCGGTGGGTCATAGTTACAGTAGTCAGAAAGCAAACTATTCTATTTTACACACTGGCTATATTAAAATTTTATAAAAACAAAATGGTGGATTTTAGTCAAAAATAAACGCTGAAATGCCTATTACACGGGCTACAGTCATGAGGTGTTTCTAGATTTGTCTTGACATTGCGAGTGCCACCAGGTATACTAAAATTTCACAATTATACTTCAAATTGCGCCCCATGACAACTTAAGACACATGCCAGTTACATTCTGATCTAAGTTACACACAATATGTTAAAAGCCTTGTAGCTGGGATGAAAAGTAAAAAAATACCTGAACCTTGAAACTTTAACACAGCCTTAATAAATAAGCTTCTAGATCCTATTATATTATGCTCCTTACCTCAATATTTGGCAAAGCACAGATTTCACCTTCATTTAGATTTTTACTTCCAACAGTATAACTGGCAACAGTGAATTTTGTCTCTGCACTTGGTGGCAAGGGTTTGTTTCTATCATACAATCTGAAATCAGAATCAGAAGGACGACAATAGTGGAATATTGAGGGTAACGATATGCAAAGTTGGCTCAAGCTTGCATAACCAAAATCTTCATAGTTTATATCCTTGCAAAACATTGACCTGAAAAAAAAAATATCAAGATAACTGAAGGTTTGTTCCAACAAGCAGTTCCGAACTAGTTCTGAACTAATTCTGAATTATTTTTCTGCACATGTGTGAGGTAACTACAGTTCAGAACTAGTTCTGAACTATTCTGTTGGAACAGGCTTGTTGTCGTAAACATTACATTAATTGAAGTAATATTTCAAATTACCAATCTCATTTAAAATTACCACTCTTCCTCCAAAAGTTTTGGCGTTTTTAGGGCTGGAAGATTTCACTATTTTGTTTTTGGAAGAAGCATGGTCTGCTACAGTAGAAGAGAAGGAAATTAAGTGGAATATTAGCAACATTAAGCTATTAATTGACTTGAAATAAAAGGAAAATATAAGATTAATATTACTAATAACATGACTGAAACAAATTCATTAAAATTTATTATCAACACTTGACGATTTAATTTTCATTTCTGTTTCTTGGAATTCCTATAATCAGGTTCAAGATCTTTATTATTCATAAAACTGCCACATATTCTCAGAATACTTATAGACAAGCACTACATTTTTCTAGAAGTGATATTTAGAAACAAATCATTTTTTTAAATGCATGAATAAGTGGCGTCTTTACCTATAGAGTTTGGGAAGATCTGCACACCATATCCCATTTTCATGTTGTCCTATCAAAAACCTTAGATTTTCTCTTATTGGTAGAGGGACATTGCTTTGAATATCGCCTACCTCAGCCGGTATTCTATCGAATAAAAGTTTTTTAGTTCTGCCACAGCCAGCGGAATTTTGCGAATCACTGGAATAAAAAAAACCATACAACAATATCAAAAGAAAAATGTTTTAAATTATTTCCCAACATTCAAACAACAGTCAGTAGACCGCACACCTTTGATAAGATGAAACCTTTTACCCACCTCTTTTCTTCAACACTTGAGCTAGATTTTGGCATATGACTATCAACAATCCTCTTATAAATATCTGGGCTCTTCTCGGGCAATTTATTTGTCGCTAAATTCAACTTAGAGGGATTTCGTTCACGATTTTCAGGTGTACTTGTATTCAGAACTGGTTGCTGATTGGGTCTCTCGACTGGTTCATCAACTGGTTTTTGGACTGGTTTCTCAGGATAGCTTTGATATGAGGAACTGCTCTCGCTTGGTGGATAAAAAATCTTGTGGCGTTGAGGTTGTGTACCAGGTTGTTTGTAAGGATTTGTGATTACTGGTTTTTGATATTGGAGATGTTTCCTCTGTTGAATGGGGAAGGATTGCCTACAAAATGTTTTAGCATTAATAACATGACCTTGCAGATTAAAATAAAACACACAACTGAATCAGTCAAACATTTGAAAAACCGCTTAGGTCAATTTTTAGCAACAGACTTTTTCACTGAGAGAAAAGGTAGTTGCTTTCTGCATGCACTACTACTCGACACTGGGTACTTGAATGGGTCATTTCAAAAACAGCACCAGAATTTGATTTATTTTCATATTATGTGCTATATGCACCAAAATACCAATTTAATATCACTAACTAAAAAATTAAGTTTATGGGTGAATACAGTAACCACTTTTCCCTATCATCTTTTCACAAAATCACCTACTCAAGAGTTTTATTTTTTCCTACCAATTCTCCTAGTTTGTATGACTGACAAAATCCTTTGATTATACTCTAAACGTTTTAAAAATCTATCCATATAGATAATATATAACTGAACTCCTATCTTGCTGTTAATTTTGCTGTCTGTTAGTAAAGTAAGCATGTGATTGTTCTACAAATGATTATTGAAGAAGTTTGATTAATAAGTCTATGTACTTTTTCACAATAGAAGTGTCATGGTTGAGTGACAAACAGGAGATTATATTTTCCCATGATGAAATATAATTCTACTTTACTTCCCAGAGTATTCATTAATTTGGTTTTATGAACAAAAAATATTGTACTGTATTTTGAAGTATCAACCAATGTCTTGAATTTCTCACTTTCAAAAGATCCATGTGCTTTAAGCCAAACTGGAATTTTTAGTGTCACATAAAGATATATACCTGTGTGAAGTCTTTTTCCTAGTTATCTTTTGATTTGTAACAAGTTCATTTATATGCTTGGACTTTTCAGAAATGACAGGGAGTACAGTTGCCATGGGCCCACTGCCTTTAACCTGAAAGAAATGTTATTCTCATATATCTTACCAATAAATATATGGTGTGACACCAACAAGCTTTTTTTGAAAGAGTAATAATAAATCATCAATACTGTAAAATGAACTTGGGAGTTCTGTTTGAACTGGAAATAAACCTACAGAGACTATAAGGAAAGGATCAGCAGAGTTAATGTAAATGTATGTCTAGTTCAAACACATAAGGTGATAGCAGCACTGTGGTGTTTTATGTGGAGCTGCCAAGAAATTTCATCTAAGTTCAAGTTATTTTTACTAAAACAAATGACATCAAGTAGGTTGATGCAATGCTCATGATCATGGCCATCTAAGAAAAAATTTACACAGATACAGAGCAGAGCAAATTAAACAGATCAAGTCAGTCAAACATGCTGATACAATTATCCACTGAGCTGTCATGGAATGACACTCATGGAGGAGACCATAATGCTAGAGATGTGTACCAAAGATATTTCTGTAAAGTTTTAAGAGTAAATGTATGGGCATTTAAAAAAAGAAAGTATTTGTGAAACAATTTGTTGATTCCAAATTTGCAAGGTCGTGCAATAAAACAACTAGCTAATAATCTGTGGAAACATCCAAATTAATGTTTGGTTTTAGGATCATTCAAAATGACAGAAGCTGATATAAAATTGTTAGTGTAGTAACTCAAAACAAGAATCAATGAGACCTTTCATAAATCTATGCATTCCACTTATTTCTAGGAGGCAACAGTGACAAGTCTTCTTATTTCTAATCAGCACAGAGGTTCAATAGAAGAACGTTTTACTAGGCATACTTTTCGTCTTATTTGATTGTGAACACACAATACTAGGCACTTACCTGTACTGTATCAGAGATAGATTTCAAGAAATGTTCCATGGAATTGTATCCTAATTTGTGGTATGGTATTTCCTCCCCGAGCATATTTCTGTAGTCCTTACTCAGCTGATTTATCGTCATAGTAAGTGGTGACGAGGTGAGAACACTAATGATGTATTTCTTCACATTAGACTCCATTTCGGACATTTATAATTATCTTTTTCATATATTTATGGCGCCAAAAAGTAAACTACAACGTACATGAGGGGCAGATATACACTAATAAAAATTAGAAATACACACAACACAGAACACACAACTTCCAGGTTGTCAACCACAAATGTCAACGTCATCAACCTGTCAAAAAAAGCTGGACGCGTAGGTATATTCTTTAATTCATCGGTTGATTCCATCACTGATGGATCCGGTGAACTCATGGTTGACAGCTGATGTGATGACGTCAGCAACCGGTTCCGTTGAATGGTCGTTAATAAAAAGACGCATTTTTAGCCTTCAGGTTGCTGTCATATGAGAATACCTAACCTTTGTTTTATCGTAAATGGATACTTGTTCATTTTCATTTGAACACCGTATCATTTAAAATCATTATGGAAATGTAAGCAGCAGTTGGTATTGTCGTGGAACGTTTGTTAAGCGATTCGAGTGATGATTCTGATGAAGAAGTTATCCAGCGGAGAGAATCAATATAAGAACTATAAATCAGAAAACCAAGAAATTTTCAGATATCGACGATCTCAAATCAATACGAGGCATTGATTTGAGAAGGTCGACGCTTCCCGTATAAGAACCATCGATATGGATTTCCTGAGAGCATTCCTGTATTCATACAGGAATAAAAACAGAACAAAATCAGAAAATCGACATTTTCGGACTTCGAGGTATTAATATGAGATCGTCGATATGCATAATTCAAAACATATTGACTTGCTTTCAGATGCTCTGTTTATTTCAATTTGTGTTGAAAAAAAACATTAAATTTCACGCGACTCCTAAGCTGCTAACTTCAATCTTTTCTTCTTCCATTTTTTCACACAAAACTGTAGTTGTCAAAAACTGATAAAATGTAGATGCTAGAATATCGTGGATCAACCGAGCCCGAACGTCGGTGGATGCTGTTGGCACCGGTGGCATATCCACCATCAATATAGAGACAAGTTTGATCTACAACCGGTCGTTCCAGTGGAAATTAAAGGACGCAAACTTGGCTAACCGGTTGCACCGGTAGCTCAACCGGTGAATTTAAGAATATACCTCGTGGGTGGACAATAATTCAAGAGACGGCCCATCATAGAACATCAGTCACTAGATGTCTGTTGTCATAATTTATAGAGTTCTAATTCAATGCCAAATCCTCCATCTTCGTCCCTAATCTGGAGCACAAGTTGTCGCTATATTCTCCTGGCAAGCGCAATAAAAAAGCGAAAACACAAACTAAACTTCAACAAACATTTTATTTTCTATCCTATATCAACAAAATCAAACGATAACGGTAGGAGCGTATGGGTAGGCACTGTATCCAGCGGCGTAGACAGAGGGTGCAGCTATGTAGCTAGAGTATGCCAGGGGAGCAGCATAGGGATAGGCGGCATATGCAGCAGGGGCAGCCACAACTGGAGCGGTGTATGCAGCGGCGAGAACACTTGGTTTAGGGGCAGCCTTAGGCTCAGGGACAGCCTTGGCTTCAGGAGCGGCCTCGGGAGCTGGAGCGGCTACAGCCAGGGCGATGATGGCGAAGAATACTACCTGAAAGTAAAAATGTACGTCAAATTTTGTAATAGACACAGACAACTTTTTATCTCAATATGAAAACCAATCAATACAATCGAGAGTAAACCACGCCATCCCAGAAAAAATTGCGTAAATCAGGTTGACATAGCTTTCAAACGAACTAGTAATGCACGATATGGGTTTTCATGAAAGAAAGAAATCCTCAGATGGCAGCAATGAGCGTGTCCATAGCAGAGAGTCCCATTGCTTCAGAACTCTGTTATAAAACTCTGTTTGTCAACAATGATTGATAACTGAATATAATATAGCTCATGATACATAATCATATACTATATAGCATTATGTCACGAAATCAAATAACCACATTGGATTACACTCCAAGCATCTATCGCGCCCACCTCGTATGTTACCGCGCTGATGGCGATTAGATCTTTATACGTCACTCCAATCAAATATCAAAGATGCATAATTATAAATAACCAAATGTCGTAAGTCATGTGCGACCGATAGCCGTCTGCTGAAAATATTTTTCTGATTCTTAAGGTTAAATGTACGGGCAAAAATCTATGAGGTGGAAATATGTCTAATAGGTGTGCAGAATTACTGCGGCTGGAAGTGTATTATTATACTAATATGCAAAATTGACTTATTCTTCCCAGCCCTTACAACCCTCATTCCCATTTTCACCCCAAAAATGTTTTCAAAAAGATCAGGAGCCATTAAAACATCAAAAAAACAAGTTTCTATTTTTTTTCGTTTTTGGTCTTTTTCTCGGCCGCCACTAAACTGAATTTCAAAATCTTTCAAGCCTTTCGCCATTGTATAGAAGTAACCTTGTGTGAAGGTTTGGTCGAAATCCAAGCAGTATTTTCCAAGGATTAATGGCCGACGATATGAAAAGTACTCAATTATATCTTCTATGACCCCCACAGCATATCGCGACCTATTTCTTAAAATTGATGCAAAAAACGAAAAGACATGCGGATGGATATAAATATATTATAATGATAATATAATAAATTATTATAATAATAATAATAATTGTAATAATAATAATAATAGTAAAAATAATATATAAATATATATA